CACACACACACACACACACACACACACACACACACACACACACAGAAACGAACGTATTTTATGTTGCCCTCAAACAAAGAGTGGCTCATGTTATGTCCACACCTTTGTCATCTGACAGAATGCAACTGGCTATACACTGCTTGGAAAATGACTTCTTCCCACCCTTTTTGGTAATGCTGACTGACCCCAGGGACCATGTACACCCTGTGACTTCATCTACATACCTAGCCTATTAGAACCTAACTGTCTACAACAGTTTAGCATATAATATGGCGTGCCTCTTACTGGATTTCCTCTTTATTTTTTTTGTTTTTGTTTTTCAAGACAGGGTTTCTCTGTGCTGTTTTGGTGCCTGTCCTGGATCTCACTCTGTAGACAAGGCTGGCCTTGAACTCACAGAGATACACCCACCTTTACCCCCTGAATGCTGAGATTAAAGACATGGGCCACTATACCCGGTCCCAACCCTTCTTCTTCTTCTTCAATTGGTTTTATTATTATTGTGTGTGTACGTGAGGACAGACGGATGTGCCTCACTTAGGACATGTATGGAGTCAGAGGACAACTTTCAGGTGTCAGTTCTCTCCTATCCACTGGTGCTGCCTGGATAAACACAGGCCTCACACTGCAGAAGGACTTTGACCAGCTGAGCCATCTCACCAGCTCGATACCTTTCAAATACCCTTGCAAGTCTGTCACTCTATCAGAACAAGCTCAAACTCTCACACAAGGCTTTAAAAGATTCTAACCAAATTCCCTTTTTTTCTCGTTATCCTGCCCTTCATCCCCATTCCATGGTTTAGCCACCTGCAGTTCCTTAGGTGTATGATGCTTCCTCAGCTCTTTTCTTGAATACAAACCCTGGTTGTCTTAGTTTCTACTGCTCTGATCAAACACCATGACCATCAACAACTTGGAGAGGAAAGGGTTTATTTCAGCTTACAACTCTCAGGTCACTCCACTGCTGAAGAAGTAAGTGAGGGCAGGAGCCTAGAGGCAAGAGCTGATGAAGAGGCCAGGGAGAAATGCTATTTACTGGCTTGCTCCCCATGGCCTGCTCAAACCTGCTTTCTCATAATATGTGGTACCACCACCCAGGGCCAGTACCACTCACAATGGGCTGGGCCCTCCCACCTAAGTCATCAACTAAGAAAAAGTACCACCTGCTTGCCCACAGGCCCATTTGGTGGGGATATTTTCTCAACTGAGTTCTTCCCAAATAGCTCTAGATTATGTCAAGTTGACTAAAGCTAGCATGCACACTGGTCCTCCAACTTCACCCACCACTTCCTGCCTTTAGGTTTGAACTTCAACACCATTTCCTCTGTGATGTTTTCCCTAACACAGCATAATGCTGAGCACCTTCCCATGTGCTCTCACAGGAGCATGCATTGTTCTTCCTGTCACAGTATTGATCACAGTATTGTGGCTATTCCTGTATCTTTCAGGAGCCTGTAACCTCCAGTGCTGACAAGTGTATAACACTGTTAAATGTTGACTACTTAGTATCAAGTCAAGTAAGCACTCAAGTGTTTGTGAGGAGTGAGCAGTGCCCAGCCAGCCTGGACTGTCACTGTTACAGACAGACAAACTGGTAGAAAGCGAGCAGGTGCACAGCCAGCCTGACCTGTCACTGTCACAGACAGACAAACCGTGGTAGAAAGCAAGCAGGTACCTAGCCAGCCTGGACTGTCACAGACAGACAGACAAACTGGTAGAAAGCAAGCACTTACCTTTCTTTGGTGCTTTATCAAGGTTAGTTTCTGGAGCTTCCACCTTTTTTCCCAGCCTCTGTGCAAGGCTTCGCTTTAATGGGGGATCACTGTCACCACCTACAAATAGGGAGATTTACTTTAAGATTTTAATCTTCAACAAAGTGAAACAAAAGAAAGCGCTAATAACAGACAAGTTTTCTGCATTTAAGCAGCAATTGTTCAACATCTTTTAACTTAATGTTAAAAGACAAAAATGACCTAGAAAGAAAAAAATTAGGAGACAAAAAAAATGTAAACACATGAACGAATACTTTTCAGATAACTAAAATCCTAAGCCCTGGCTGACGCTAAGGCTCAAAGAGAGAGTGTCTTCACCGCTGGTGCTGGACAGTTTCATGTCAGCTTAACAAGCGAGAGGCACCCGAAAGGAGGGAACTCACTTGAGAAAATGCCTCCATGAGATTTGGCTGTAGAGCAAGGGCGGTGGTGGCGGCGGTGGTGGCGCACACCTTTAATCCCAGCACTTGGGAGGCAGAGGCAGGAGGATCTCTGTGAGTTTGAGGCCAGCCTGGTCAACAGAACGAGATCCAAGAGAGCCAGGCCTACACAGAGAAACCCTGTCTCGAAAAACCAAAAAATCGAACTGTAAGGCATTTTCTTAATTAGGGGAGGGCTCGGCCCACTGTGGGTGATGCCATTCCTGGGCTGGTGGTCCTGGGTGCTGTAAGGAAGCAGGCTGAACGAGCCACGAGGAACAAGGCAGTAAGCAGCGCCCTCCATGGCCTCTGCATCAGCTCCCACCTCTAGGCTCCTGCCTTGCTGCAGTTCCTGTCCTGACTTCTTTGATGATGAACAGTGCTGTGCTGTGTGAGCCAAATGAACCCTTTCCTCCCCAGCTTCCTTTTTGGTCATGGTATTTTGTCACAGCAATTATAACCATAACTAAGAGACCACTAAACTTTGAATTCATAATAAATTCAGTTAGGAAGATAGTAAAGGAATTTATGATGCCTCTTTTCTAAGATTGATTTTTATTGTTATGTGCATGGGTGTTTTGCCTGCATGTATGTCCGTGTTAGTGTGCCAGATCCCCTGGAACTGGAGTTGCAAACAGGTGTGAGCTGCCATGTGGGTGCTGGGAACTGAACTCAGGTCCTCTGGAAGAACAGCCAGTGCTCTTAACCCCTGAGCTATACCTCTCCAGCCCCTTACAATGCTTATTATTCCTGGGGTATGAAGACTTAGACTGATAGATGATCAAATCATGCCTTTACAAAATAGAAAAAAAAAAAAAAGAAGAAGAAGAAGAGAAGGGATGAGGAGGAAGGGGAGGGGGAGAGGGAAGAGGATGAGGATGAGAGGGAAGAGGAGGAAGAGAAGGAGGAGGAGGAGGAGGAGGAGGAGGAGGGAGGAGGAGGAGGAACCAACTGAAAATATCTAATATTCTCTAGCTTATCCAAGTGGAGACAAGGGTCTTGTAGTCTCGGCTGGCCTGGAAATAGCTATGAAGACCAGACTGGCCTTGAACTCACAAAGACCCTCGTGCCTCTGCCTCCGAGTGCCGAGATTAAAAGCACATGTCACCATGTCTGGCTCAAGCCTGTAATTACTAACCTAGGACCTTCTAAAAGGTCAGTCATGGGCTGGAGATGGCTTAGCTCTCAACCAAAAAGATTAGTCATGGTCATAATCTACTAAGTTAGAACACATCAAACTACTGTAGCACACACAGGAAATGTTTATAATGTTGTCAGTCAAGAATACAGGCAGCCCAGTAGGTCAACACTGACTGTGCTTTTATGAAGAGTCTCAACAAGGGAACATGTTAATGCATAAGCATAGAGACAGAAGACACACAAATTCTAACTCACCTACTGAAAATTTTCGTTTTCCCAGTCTCTCAGGAAGACTCAGTCTAACCCAGGGCTCTTCTGAAATGGCAAAAATAAAATGTGTTCACTGTTAGCTGATTCTTTTACATTCATATGAGCCTGCTAAGGAGGTATTTTGAAAATTACATCTCAGTCTTCTGTCACATTTAACAAGAAAGTAATCAAGTCTAATGAACATGCAACAGCATGGCATTATTAACAGTAGCCAAACATAAGGAGAGAGACTCTGATTCTGGCCAAACTATCCTTGTGCACCTTGAAAAGCTATTTAACATTATTACATGAGCAAGAAAGCCTTCTCTGAAATGTCTGTGGTTCAAATAAACATTTAAACGTGCAATTTAATGTGTTCTATTCCTATGCTACATAGTTTTATGTCAATTTGACAAGCTAAAGTCATCTGAGAGGAGGGAACATCAATTAACAAAATGCCTCTATAAGATCAGGCCGCAGGCAAGCCTGTCATGCATTTTATTAATTAGTGATTAATGGGGGAATGCCCACTGGGGGTGGTGCCATCCCTGGGCAGGTGGTCCTGGGTTCTATAAGAAGGCTGAACAAGCCATGAGAACTAGCCAGTAAGCAGCACCCCTCCATGGCCTCTGCATCAGTTCCTGCCTCTAGGATCCTGCCCTGTTTGAGTTCCTGTCCTGACTTCCTTTGATGATGAACAGCAATATGGAAGTGTAAGCCAAATAAACTCTTTCTTTCCCAACTTGCTTTTGGTCATGGTGTTTGATCACAGCAACAGTAACCCAGACAAAGACAATTCCTTATTAGGTTTTAAACAATTCAGTAAAAAGGCTGATATTTTTCCTATCACTCTAAATATATACTAACATTCTTTACTCAAAATGAGCGACCAATAAATTTGCTGAAGAAAAGAGAACATGTTAAATTAGATATACATAAATGTGAGACTGCCTGAGCAAGAAAGTATTCTAACTTTTTAAACAACAGGATCAAATGAACAAATTTTCATCCTTATAGATGATCAAAATACTTCAGGTTCTCCAAAAACTCCAAAGGGCACGAACATATTACCCAAGGGCTTTGTGTTCCCAATTACACCAAGTAGAACCCAGTCCTCTGGGAGACCTGCTATAGCGCACCTTGTTTGCTGGAGAGAGTTACTGTCCTCACCACAGTCCGCACATTCTCCTTTTCAGGGCCTGGATTGGACTGAGGCTGATGTAAAGCACTGGAAACTCCTGAGGAGCTTTCTGAATGAGAAAAGTCAAATAAATAATCTATGGAAAATAAAGCTAGTCCAAGTCAAGCATCTCTGTCCTATGAACGTTAGCTCCAACGCAGACAGCTCTGCTGTCTGAATGCTGTCTCAAGCAGACACTCAACCTCCTGTTTATCAGGAGGTTAACAAGACTCTAGCTGATTAAACTGGGCTGGCTGGTCAGCAAGCCCCAGGGATCCTCCTGTCTCTGTCTCCCCAGAACCGGGATTCCCAGCACACATCCATGTCTGGCTTATTTATATGGCTGCTAGGGCTAGAGGCAGGTCCTCAGGTTTGTGGAGCAGACACTTGACTGGCAGCCGTCTCCACAGTCCCCTGAATCTGTCTCTTAACTGCTGCTCTTTATTTACAGTTATGTATCTCAAGATACAGCCTGGCATGGTGGTGACGCACTCCTTTAATCCCGGAACTCGGGAAGCAGAGGCAGACGGATCTCTGTGCATTTAAGGCTGGCCTGGTCTACAGAGTGAATTCCAGGATGGCCAGAGATACATATCGAGATCCTATCTCATAAAACAATCAATCACTCTCAAGACGTACAGGTTTCTTTATGTTATCATCTGGTTCTAGCTCTGAACAGTGAGGACCGAAACACAGCTCCAGTACGTTTGTGTTTCGCTTTGAACAAGCCATAGAAATGAGAATCTGTCTGTCTTTGCTAGGTTTGGCTGTCGCTGTCAGAAGTATCGATTATTCTCGTCAGGCAACATGCAAGTATTCATGCAAAAACTCGTGATGACTTACCACCTTGCTTCTTGGATTTTTCCTTCATTTTCTTTGATTTAATTTCCTCAAGAGTTTTTATTCCAAAATTCAAACATTCACCTGGGAAACCCAAGAGGGAAACCACATGAGGAACTACAGCCTTTTTCTTTGCATTTTCTCTGCAGGCATTCCAGTACTTGGAGTAAATGACTTAGAAGGAGGGTATGTGTCAGTATGCGGACAGCGTATCCGCCAGGAAAAGCTTAGTGACTACACTGATTCTGAAGGTAGTTACAACAGCCAAAGACGCTTCACGGCTGAGAGACAGGCCAGCCTCTGTGTACCGTACCTTGCTTTAAAGCGACTCCGGGTTTCCGGGCAGAAGCCACTCGGAGTCCATTGTGAACCTCAGAGGTTGGCTGCAGGGCAGGTGTCTTGCTTTCATCGCCCTCCTCAGAAAACTGATCTGGATAGCCACATTTAAGACAAATTTCCAGTTAAGACCAAGACCAAGTAACACATTACATTATTTGCCTGAAAAAAAAAGAGAAGGGGGGTGGGCGCTAACCATACCATCATCGTCTTCATCATCATCGGCAGCGTTGATTACAACGGGTGGATGCGTGGGGCTGGGGACATTTTCCGAACTTTCTACTTTCCTTACACTCCGCAGTTGAGGGGAGGGATTAGACTGGACCGACAATTTGTTCTGCTGAACTGTGAGTTGGCTGGCCTTGACTTCTTCTTCTTGCAACTCAGGCCCAGTGGGTAACACAGCTAAACATTAAAAAAAAAAAAAAAAAAAGACAAATTTATAACCGAGAATTATAATCCCAACTCAACAAAAATCCCTGTCCTTTTGATAAATTTGGTGCATTTTCCTTAAGAAGGTATTTTTTTAACTGAATTTTCCCATTTCCATTCTGTAACTCTCCATGAAGAGAAGAAGAGTGTAACTCTTTATTGTATAGAAACAGATGATAGGACCGAAAGCAGTAAACCCGGAGTTAGTTCCAGATTCTAGACATTTTAAGTTGAGATTCTAGAATTTTTTCCTTGGCATAAAAAGACATAGAGACATCATCTGCCTCTGCTTCCCCAGCTGGGATTAAAGTATGTGTCACCAACTTCTGGATCTTTTTTTTTTTTTGTGATGATGTCTTGCTATGTAACTTAGGCTGGTCCTCACACTCTAGTTCTTCCTGCCTTAGCTTTCTGAGTGCTAAAATCCCAGCCACTGACACTGAGTGGCTCTTTGGTGGCCAAAGGAAATTAGCCCACTAGGAAATTACTTTAAAAGGGGCTTTGGAGGGGCCAGTGAGATGACTCTGCAGGTAAAGATGCCTGCTGCCAAGCCTGGTAACTTGAATCTGACCTGAGGACCCACATGGTGGACAGAGAAAATCTCATCTCTCCAAGCAGTCCTCTGACCTCCACACACATTTCACAGCATGTGTATACACATACACTCAAGACACACACAAAGCATTTATAAATAAAAATTATTTTAAAAGAGATTTTGAAAAGAAATCACAGATTTTTGTGGAGTCAGGATTCATTTTAGGACTGAGAATAGATATAATTCAGCAGTAGAGAGCTTGTCTAGCATGTTCGAAATCCTTAGTTTGGTCCCCAGCCCTGGAACAGCGGGGATTTTTTTTTTAAGATAGCCTACATCAAATTTTTTTTTATTTTAGCTAGGCTATAAAAAGCTGGACTAGTTAGTATGTGAGGTATTACTGTGAATGCCTATAATCCCAACGCTCAGGAGACTAAGGCAGAGAATGACAAGTTCTAAGCCAGTTTAGGTTACAGTGTCTAACTGACTCCACCATAGAGTAGATGGCTGTACCTCTGGCTCTGTGGGCCGTGTGGTCTCTTATCTCAACTCCTTAACTCTGCAGTACTAATACAAAACGGGCCACAGTATGTAAATGGATGGCCAAAGCCATATGCAGTAAAGCTTCATCTCACAGAGCAGGCAGAGGACCCAATCTCCTACCCATGGTCTGGAGAATTAAATTCTTTTGAAAACATCTATAGGTTTGGTAAGAAAATAAGAATGAAACAAGTATTATATTATACAGTAATATAATCTGACATGACCGAAACATTTGGTTCTCTCTGGATACTTATCACCTGACCTCTCTAAGGTTGTATTTCTTCATTATACAGTAGAAATAGTACTGTTCTCACTGGATTGAAAGGGTGAATAGCAGGTGCTCACTGAATAGCAACTGTTCCCTTTTAGAATCAAAACCAATCTCACTTCTGCTTGGAGGTAGGAACAGTCCATCAACGTAACGACCTCTGTTGTGATGGAAAGCACAGTTTAATTTTTGACATCCCACTGGCTGATTTTCCCAATAACAAGGAATTTCACTTCGTTTTTTCTGTAAGAGAAAAACACATTGTTAAAAAAATGTTAAGCTTGTTAAAAAAACAAAATGTTAAAAAATTCAAGTTAAAAAATGAAGTAAGTCCTACATTAATTCTGTGACTGGTTTTCAAAATAAAGTTCAAAACCCCAACACAGGAAGGAGGTCATGTTTAGCAAGAGAGAGGCTATCGAAAGTGATACTTAGGCCCTGTGGAGAGCTGTACTTTCCTCCTGGTCTTCATCCTGAAAACCCTGTATGGGCACACTTGATGTAGAGAAGCAGGATAATACAGTAGTTAAAAATATAGAGTAAGGGTGGTGGCACACGCCTTTAATCCCAACATTGGTAGGCAGAGGCAGGCGGATCTGTGTGAGTTCCAGGCCAGCCTGGTCTACAGAGTGAGTTCCGGGACAGCCAAGGCTACACAGAGAAACCCTGTCTCAAACAAACAAACAAACAAACAAACAAACAAAAACCCCAAGAATATAGAATAAGATATTATAATAATTTTCCTTCCTATTAAGTTATTTAAGGGCCTTATGACCACAGACAACTAAACACCTGGTCAGCCTCACTTTCTTAGCTACAAAATGTGAACTGCATCTGTGTGCATATGTAGGCAGGAGTGTAGAGGCCAGAGCAGGACATCAGCTACCTTCCTCTCCTGCCCTCGACCTTACTACATCAGGAGTAGAGTCTCACACTGAAAATGAAGCTCATTCCAGGTAGGCTGGCCAGCCAGCAAACTCCTAGGATGCTGTCTCTGCTCCCAACACTGGGCTTGTATCTTAAGTATAGCCATGGCCAGCTTTGTATGTGGGCACTGGGCATTCAAACTCAGGTATCCATGATTATACAGCACATGCTAATTTAGCCAGTGAATCATCTCCCTAGGCCCTGAATTAGTGAATACTACACCAATGTTTCCAAAGAAATAGCCAGGTCCCATGATGCTCTGCATCTACAATATTTTCATCAGCCAGCCAATTCATAATCTTGTTTCATATGTTTCTATTTAAAGACTGTTTTGCTGGATATGGTGGCACACACTTTTAATCTCAGCACTTGGGAGGCAAAGGCAAGGGGAACTCTGAGTTTGAGGACAGCCTGGTCTACACAGTAAGTTCAGGACAGCCAGGACTACACAGAGAATCTGTCTCAAAAAACAAGCAAGCAAAGAAAAAAAGAGAGAGAGAGAGAGATTCTATTTAATATATATACTGATTATTAATATGAAACCAACTACCAACAGTACTATAAAACTCTTGCCCGAATAAGGCTCACAAATAGTCATGCTGTCGCATTTTCTAGTAAAGCACATCACAGCTCTCCTCTAACTAAAAACACGAGTTAGGACTTTAGCACTATGTGTTGGCCTATTTGTCAGTTAGGGTGTCTCTTCTCTTCTCCTTTTTGGTGCACATGCTATGCAAGTATACCACCAACGAGCTATATCCCTAGCCCTAAGGCACTAGGGATACTTTTTAAAAGCAAAATAATCAATACAAAACACCAAACTGAAAAAATCATAGTAGCAAGTAGCCTGCAATCAAGGACACCTGATTATATTTATATATATTATGAGAGCTCAATCAGAAAGGCAGTTTGTCACCCTATTTCACCTCAACTGGAGACACACATCAGGGGATTTATGTATTTATCTCTGAACATCTTTGAGTGAGCATAAAATATGCAAGTACTGATTTGGGAATTACCAGTACATTTTATCAAGCACACAAATTAGTCAATATTGACTCCATAAATGACAGACTATAAGGGGTATGCTGGGAAAAAAGTCCTTGTAGCTCACTGCATCTCCACACAACCACAATGCAGGGTCTCCATTACACTTACAAAGATTTTTTTTTTTGTTTTTCGAGACAGGGTTTCTCTGTGTAGCTTTGCGCCTTTCCTGGATCTCACTCTGTAGACCAGGCTGGCCTCGAACTCACAGAGATCCGCCTGCCTCTGCCTCCCGAGTGCTGGGATTAAAGGTGTGCGTCACCACCGCCCAGCCACAAAGATATTTTTTTAAATGCACATACAAGCAAGTACAAGTACAAATCTTTCCCTTCTATTTTATTTCAACTTTTTTTAGATTTATGTATTTTTGTGTGAGGGTTTTGCCTGCATGTACATATATGAATCACATATCTATCTGCCTTGTGCCTTCAAGTTAAGAAGAGGAATCCAGAAGAAGGCATGGGAACCCCTGAACCTGGAGCTAGAATGGTTGTGAGCTGCTGTTATGATGCTAGCGCCTGTACTTGGGTCCTCTGCAAGACAAGTGCTCTTAACTACTGAACAATCTCTCCTTCTATTTTAAGCATGCTGTTCCGCTCCCTCTACATTTTCACTTAATATATCCTGATCCTTCCTTATCAAATAATTAAGTGTCCATTTTAAATTCTTAAATTCTTGTTAACTGCTGCCCACCCCTCCACAGTATGAAGATAGGAAAGCTGAGATGTTTCCAGCATTTTATAAACTGCTGCAATGGTAATTCTGATGTACTTTGTTTAGCACATTGAGTACAATGTGTAAATATTTAGTTCTCTTCAGGCACAAGTAAGCCTACACAAAAAAGAAAATATTAGCATGCCCATACTGCTTGGTTGGCAGCTGAGTGCATGCCTCTTAGAGTACCTCCTAAGTTAAGTGACGGAGTGGGGAAGGAAAGATCCACTGGACCTAGACTATTTGTACCAAGGATGTGGCTCATGTTGAACATTTGAATGTGAGATTTGGGTACTTCAAACAGATGGTGGATGATTGGTTTCTAAGTGGACTTTCCATGGGAGAATGCTGCAGTGAGTTGCTACATTTCACTTGAGGGGAAAGAATACATTCTGGACAACCCCAACAGGAGGAAGCCAGGCTCAAGAAACCCCACAACAATTCCACAGACTCCACAATCCTCTTCTCTTGTGCTGGGAAGTATAGCCTTACTCTTGTGATGGTTCTTAGATGGGATATTCTGGAGACTTGTTCTTAGCTACTTCCTAGGAGTTATGCCAAGGCAGAACCTGAGTTTTCCAAAGTTACAGAGTAGTATTTCTTAATTAATTTAATAAATATCTTGCTATTTGTCTGGTAGACAACCAAGAAAGCAGTTAAGAAATGAGAAACTGGGAACCAGACTGGAGTAGCTTTATGAACCTGGCACATAAATTACATATTCACTCTCTTCTTCCTTCTTTCTCTCTTCATCCACTACTTAACAACTGAACGGAAAGTCAACTTTGAAGGAATCAGGCACTCATTTGAAACAGGAAAAGCAAAGTGGCCCAAACCAAGATTCTAACCCATCAAGGGTTAGGAAGACCCTGTACCAAAGGATGGTCTATGAGTGTTGAGAGGTGGAGTCAAGTAAGGCTTCTGGAGAAGGGATTCCAACGAGTGTGAAGAGAGTGGATTCCCCGAAGCTGTGTGGAATGGGTATCAAAGGCAGACTGTGGTGGCGCACGCCTTTAATCCCAGCACTCGGGAGGCAGAGGCAGGCGGATCTCTGTGAGTTCGAGGCCAGCCTGGGCTACCAAGTGAGCTCCAGGAAAGGCGCAAAGCTACACAGAGAAACCCTGTCTCGAAAAACCAAAAAAAAAAAAAAAAAAAAAAAAAAAAAGGCAGACTGACCAAGATAGGCAGTCCTTATGAGAAAAGCTGGCAGCCAGCAGCAGGTAAGTGGAATGAGGAAGCAGCTCACGTAGGGGAGGGGCCTAGCACAAATTACCAGAGCCCAAGGGCGTGAAGAGTGAGCTGGCCTCAGCAGGAAGACACAGTCCAAGCATGAAGAGGAAGGGTCTTTAAAATGGAGCTGGGGAAGGATTGACACAGGGTACTAAAGTCAAAACAAAGTGAGACAGGTAACGCTATGAAGCAGCAGCTTCTTGTGACGTCAGACCTAGGAGGGACCTGACCAAAGAAGTCCAAGTATTAAGGACTATGGAAACCAAGTTTCTTGCTTTTGAGAAAACAGTAACAAAGGAAACCTAGACTACATCCTGGTGCTGATGAGCTGGAAACACCTAGGTGACTTTCTATCTTTCAATATGTAGACTCAAAGCAATGCAATCACCTACTTCTCTCTCCACTAAGGAGACTAGAAAAGCAATGATATCCTAGGAGCAGACCAAAGCTTAGCATCTATCTACCCTTCTTCACTGGAAAGAACCAATACATCATTTTTAAAAGAGGAGATTCTAGAGCTGGAACAGGAAAACTACAAAGATTACAAAGCCTAGAAAAAAGCAAAGAGTGTTCAAAGAATGATGGATAGTAAGGACTACCCCCCCTACACACAAAATAAACAATAAGTCAGCTTGAAGGTCTCTTATAGGCTAAATTGGAATAGTAACAGATATAACACATTAAGTAAAACAGAAAATCATTAGTTCACACTAACACAAACAGATTCGGGGGAAGATCCAGTTTGATGACAAATGGGCTATCTACAGTACCAAAGCCTCACTTCACAGAGGACTTCAAAACCAGGGATGGTCCAGTGGTTCAGTGGGGAAGGCACCTGCTGCCAAGCCTGATGACAAGCTTTATCTCTGGGGCCCACATGGTAGAAGAGGAGACTTGTACAAGTCCTCCTCCGAACCCACATACACATGTACATGTATACACATATAGGCACACACATTTTTAAAAACTATTAAAAATTTATAATGAAGCAATGTGGTAGGTACTGTGATAAAAGTTAAACACAGTAATGGGAAATTTAAATTGTATGCTACCTTACAGTACACAATAAAAAGAATATTGCGGTTACACAGAGAAACCCTGTCTCGAAAAAAACAAAAACCAAACAAACAAAAAGAGTTAGCCTGGTATGGTGGTGCAGGCCTTTAATCCGAGAATATTCTGAAGGCAGAGACAGATCTCTGAATTCCAGTCCAGCCTGGTCTACAGAGCAAGTGCCAGGAAAGCCAACGCTGCTATACAGAGAAACCCTGTCTACCAAAAAAAAAAAAAAGAATATTGCTTTTGTGATGTCCTCTAAAATATATACAATCTTAGGGGAGCTGAAGAGATGGCCCCATGGTTAAGAGCATTTACTGTTCTTGCAGAGAACCGAGGTTTAGTTCCCAGCACCCACATGGTGGTTCACAACGATCTGTAACTCCAGTTCTAAGGGATTCAACTGGACCCTCTTCTGACTTCTGATGGCACTGACCCATATGATGCAGACACATACAATTAATTACAAAAGAGACATAGACAAGCATAATTTAGTAATGACAATATACAAACAAACCAACTTAAGAGGCATTTTACAGAACAGTAAATGTTCTAAAACCATCATGAAAGACTAAGAAAGGCTGAACACTCACTCCTCAAATGAATGAGACGGAGTATCACACCACCATAAGAAATGTGTGAGTGTGGCCTTGCTCCTTCAATAGAAAATATCATCAGACAGCTGGCAAACTTTGCTGAGGACAAAATTAAGTTACCAGTTCTCCTTTCTAATTTCCATAGCTATGTTACTGTTGTACAGGGGAATGCCTTCTTGTTCGTAGGAAAGATTCAAAGTACTGGGATGTAGAGAATGGCAGTAATTTAACCTTAAATGGCTCAGAAGAAAAAAAATTATACCAAACTTACATTTTTTTCCTGAGTTTGTAACTTTTTAAAAAAGATCTATGTTTTATTTTCTGTGTATGAGTTTTACCTACATGTATGGATGTGTACTACATTTGTGACTAATGCCTGTGGAAGTCAGAAGAGGGCATCAGAGCCCCTGAAACTGGAGTTAAGACGATTATGAGCTACCAAGTGGGTGCTATGAACCAAATTAGGGTCTTCTGCAAGAGCAGCAAGTACTCTTAACCTCTGAGCCATCTCTCCAGCTCCTGTTAACTGTTTTGGAACTTAAAAAACACAGGGTCAGCAAGATGGCTAAGCAGGTTAAGGCATTTGCCACAACTGGAGCAGCCCAGCACAAGCTCCAGGTCACACACTGGAAGGAACTATGACAGACTCCTACAGGCCAGGTACAACAGCATGCATGCACACCCCCCATCCCCACCAGGCTTGGCAGTTAAGTGCTTTTACTGACTGAGTCATCTGCCCTCACTAGCCCTGTCTCCACATTTTGTATTGATCCCGGATACTTAGAGCAACAAAAGTTGGAAACTTACATCAATTTCCATGTGGCGATATCTGCACACCTGTCGAAAACAACGACCTTCTTGCCATAACGTGCAAACAGTTTCATTTCCTAGTGCAGCTTCACAGTGACGGAAAGGGCAGCTGTCACCCTGTTAAAAAAACAAAAAACAAAACAGGAAAGGACTGTGGACCATGTCTATAACAAGAATGCCCAAGAACCTAAACAAATCAGTAAGCAAAGACCAGCAGGGCAGAAAACAAGATGTAACAACAACCACCATCTGAAAGAGCAAATCTGTAATATAATAACCTATTGTTTTTTGCTATCTGTTTGACAGGGTCTCTCGCTGGCCTTGAACTCCCCAAGTACATTAGGCTGATTAGCCAGTGAGGCCCAGGGATTCTCCGGCCTCTATATCCCCAGAGCGAGTGCATGCCATTCTGCCTGGCTTTTTAAAATGTGGATCTGGGCATCGAACGCAGGTTCTCGTGTTTACATGACAAACACTTTACTGACTGGGCGAACTCCCCAGCCTTAACCTATTTCCTGTTGTTGTGTTTTGAGACAGGGTCTCATTATGCAGCCTTGGTAGGCCTAGAACTCACTATGTAGATCAAGCTGGCCTTAAACTCAGAGGTTGACCTGTCTCTGCCTCCTGAGTGGGGGATTAAAGGTGTGTGCCCAGCTCTCCTCAACCTATTTCTTAACCCATTTCTTCTGATCTAAGTGTCACAATTGACAATTGGGCTGAAAAGGACAAGGTGTCAGAACAGATCCTCTGAAAAACATTCTCATCTTCAAAATGGCTTTGGCTTCATATATCCTAACTTCAATAATTTCTAGCTTTTTACCTAGAAATACCCCAGTGAGGCTTCCGGTAACTATCATGCCTACCTATGGCCTGCCCGAGGCGGGGCCAAGATGGGAGCCCTTAAGACCCGAGATCCGGATGTGCTGGCTCTCTTGGTTCCTGGTGATCCTGGATGTTGGATGGATACCACTGGACTGTACTTCACCTCTCCCAGACCTTGTAACCTATCCCTTTACTTGCTGTAAGTAAACCCCCTAAATAAACCTCCCTTTTAACTACGTGGAGCTGCCTTAATGCTTCCACCATTAGAAGCTGGTAGGCTGTAAGTGATGTAAGTATACTTAACATATACAACAATACAGTTACTTTTGTTATCGGAACAAATCACTATTATACATATCAGAGCTTTGCTTTTTTTAAAATCTTGCTTCTCTTTTGCAGTGCCAGGGGCTGGATCCAGCATCCCTCATATTTGCAAGTGTTCTGTGGCCGAGCTACATACCTAGGAGAAAAACTTCATGCCCCCACTGCTGGGCTTTTTAAGATAAGGTGTCACTACACAAGCCCAGGATGAACGTCAACCCTCCTGTTTCTACTACCATGCCTAGCTAGACTTATCTTTTTAAACACAGCATCACAATGATTTTAGAACAGACCACTATAAATAGCAGAAAATGACAGGCAGACCTAAGTAGAGCTACCAAAAACTCAAGCAGAAAAACAGGACATTCTGACAGAGAAAGCAAAACTCTAAAAGAATACCTTCAGAAAGATAGCATTACCTTCTTACTAGCAGAAAATGTGGAAAAGGTCAAATTTAACCCCTAAGAGCTCCCACAAGTATACAATCCAGTCATTCATCTAATGCAAAATACACAAAGTCAAAGCTGCCAAGCCATAGAAGCCAACATCTCCCGAATTCCAAAGGCAGTTAGAATAAATTAATTATAGGCAAAATGATGACTATACAACATGGGCAGTTTTACTTTTTGTGCATGTTATAATTATATACAAATGAAGAAGAGGAGACGAGGGATGTAGTCTTCCTTAACACATAATTTACTAAAAAACTGGCAGCAGATAATAAAACAGCTGAGCAAACCACAACATCAAACAGTTTAAAACATAGGGGAAATCTTAGCTAATTTGATATAAAAAAACAGCAGAAAGAACTGATTTAGAGATGCCAGTCTTACTTTGGTGCATGTAGAATAGAAATAAAAATAGCAGTCTTCTCCCTGATTAGGCATGCCGGGTAAATTCTCAGGCCAGAAGTGGCTTTTTGGAATAAGTCACTGCTTCCTCAAGGTGAAAACCAGCTCCAAGTGCTCTTGAAATGGACTCACTCTTCCAATGACAACTCAACCACAGAAATCTTCTTTAAAACGTAATCCTGGAAAGGGGAGACAGTGAATAAAGTACTTCAGGTAAATTCTTCCAGCCTCTTCCTCCTCCTCCAATTCCTAATGCTACCACACTGTTAAAACTAGATTTTAATTGTGTTAGCAGGCGCTTACCATACAGAGCCTTAAAAACAACTGTGCTAGTTATGAGTACTGTACACTCCCAATGTAAAATTTTTGTTAAGGACAGCCATGTCCTTTACTTTTGTATCTTCTATGGTGCTTGTTTCACTGATTCAGTGTAAAATTTAAGTAAGTACTGCTAAACACATGATCTACATTTTAGACTAATAGGACATAGACTACTTGACACGCAATACTTGCAAAATGTCATTTCCACCTAAATGACAACAATTCAAGGATCTTCGTGAGCATGTTATATCAGAAGTATATAATTACAACTAAGTGGAAAGAGCCTCCTTAACTAGAACAGTTAGTGAAACAATTACCTTTGAGAACATCTAAGGGTTAGTGTAGTCTCTAAGACAGTGAAGGAGCAAAGAAGTCTTCCAGGGCAGGCCCACAGAACAGTGACAACACAATTAACACTCTATCCATCGTCCTTGCCATCCTCTGAAGCCACACAAAATGTGCAAGAATGCTACTACAAAAGCAAAAACATGCTGTAAGAGCACATGAGAATGTGGAAGGGGATCGCCACAAATTCTAGTAATGCCAGGTAAACCCTGGCTTATCGCTCCAAGTCAATTAAGCAAAAGCCAATCTTATCTTCTGTTAGTAAAGTAATTCCTAATTCAAGAACTGTCCATCAAGATGAAAGCTGGCCTTCAAGCCAGCAATCTAAGTTAGGAGCAAGAGTCTTCAACTAACCATGTAATAAAATTTTTAAAATGCATACACCCATTATCAAATGGTTCCACTCTACAATTTACTCTAAGGTAAAAAGTCAATAAACACCCAAGTAACAGCACAAAAGAAAGTTCACCACCATCAGCTTCTGCCTGACGCTTATAGCAACAGAGACGGAAAACATGTACAGAGAGGAACCGCTAAGCAAAACAGGAGACAGGGTTGAAGATTTAGGAACGTCTTAGCCTACCCATGTTGCAAAAAGAAACGTCAATCAGAAGGAGAAAGGAAAAGAAAAGGGTGTGCTCTGCAGAGAGCATGTGGGAAGCTGACAGAGGAAGAAGGCGCTGAGGCCAGCACAGTGCCTACCAGGCCATGGGGTCCACAAAGTAAGATACTGCCTTAAAATAAATGAAACACAAAACCAAAAAAGAAACGCTGGTGAGGATATTCATGAGCAAGGACGAAATCTAAAAGAACACAAACCAAAATGGTGGTGGCCAAGATAGTAGGAAAATTATTTTTACTGTGTTACTTTACTTTGAAAAAAAATCTTTCTTTTTAATTTACGTGCATGGGGTTGTTTTGTCTAGATGTATGTCTGTGCAGCACTTGTGTGCCAACTGCCCATGTTGGCCAAAAAGAGTATCAGATTCCCTGTACCTGGAGATAAGATGGTTATGAGCTGCCATGTGGGTGCTGGGAATTGAACCTGGGTCCTCTAGAAGGGCAGCCAGGGCTCTAAAGATGAACCATCTCTCCAATCCCTACTTATCTAATTTTATGCTCAGAATAACATTACGTTTTCTACTACAGTGCAATATAGAAATAGTACAGACTTAAGCTTGCTTTAATCACAACTGTTTGGTCAAAGCATGGAACAACTAACTACCGGACTTTTTAAAAGCCTTTGTGTGTACACACACATTAATGGATGTGAGTGTGGGTCTACCCTGAGTGTGGAGGTCAGGACAACGCTGGTGTTGGACTACTCCTTCTATCTTGTCTCAGACAGTCTCTTATTCACTGTTGTAAAAGCCAGGCCAGCTGGCCCAAGGCTTCTGGGGATGCTCATCTCCATCTCCCATCTTGCCATCACAGTGGGGTCCTCTCTGATCTTAAACCCAAGAATGCATTCTATATTCTAAAGGCAACTTAAAAAAAAAATTGCCAGCCGGGCAGTGGTGGCGCACGCCTTTAATCCCAGCACTCGGGAGGCAGAGGCAGGTGGATCTCTGTGAGTTCAAGGCCAGCCTGGACTACAGAGTGAAATCCAGGAAAGGTACAAAGCTATACAGAGAAACCCTGTGTGTGTGTGGGGGGGGGGGGGATTGCCTCAGGGGGCTGGAGAGATGGTTCAGAGATTAAGAACCCTGACTGTTCTTCCAGAGGACCTGGGTTCAATTCCCAGCACCCACATGGTGACTGGCAAACCATCTATAATAAGATCTGGTACCCTCCTCTGGTGCTCAGGCATACATGCAGGCAGAACACTGTATACATAGAAAAAATAAATAAACCTTAAAAAAAAAAACTGCCTCAGATAAGATTGGATCTCTAAAAGATAGTTAAAGGGTCTGGAGAGATGGCTCAGTGGTTGAGAGCAGTGACTGCTCTTCCAGAGGTCCTGAGTTCAATTCCCAGCACCCACATGGCAGCTGACAACTGTCTATAACTCCAGTTCCTGGCCTTCTGACACCCTCACACAGACATACATGCAAGTGAAAACCCAATAAGCACAAAATAAAAATAAATTATTAAAAATATATAAAAAAATAAAGGATAGTTAAAAATAAAGGATGGATTAGAACACATTTGGGGGGGGCATGTTAACTGGAGGAGAATGAAAAGGTGAAATGGTAAGCTGGGCGGTGGTGGCACACACCTTTCCCAGCACTCCTGAGGCAAAGGCAGGAGGATCTCTGTGAGTTCAAGGCCAGCCTGGTCTACAACAGCGAGCAGTTAGGGCAGCACAGAGAAACACTATCTTGAAAACCAAAAAAAAAAAAAAAGGGGGGGGGTGAGGGGGTGAGATAGGGTGGGTAGGAGCTGGAGAGACAGCTCAGCAGTTAAGAGCACTGGCTGTTCTTCCAGAGGTTCTGAGTTCAATTCCCAGCAACTACATGGTGGCTCACAACCATTTATAGTGGGATCTGATGCCCCCTTCTGGCATAAAGATGTACATGCAGATAGAGCACTCATAATTTTTTTTTTTAAGATAACTAGAAAATAAATTTTTTTTGTTTTTGTTTTTTCGAGACAGGGTTTCTCTGTGTAGCTTTGAATCTGTCCTGGATCTTGCTCTGTAGCCCAGGCTGGCCTGGAACTCACAGATATCCGCCTGGCTCTGCCTCCCAAGTGCTGGGATTAAAGGCGTGAGCCACCACCCGGCCAGAAAATAATTTAAGGAGGGGGGTGGCTTAGATAGGCCTGGTGGTACACACTGGTAATCCCAGTGACTCAGAAGGCTGAGGCCAGAAGATGTAAGTTCAAAGCCAACCCAAGGCAACTCAATGAAAGATGTGTCAAAACAAAAGTGCAGCATGAATCTTAAAAGGTCTTATTAATAAAAACAAACCCAGAGCCAGGTATTGGGGTGAATCCTGGAAGTTCAGAGAGACAGAACAAGCCACAGCTAATCTCACCTTGCCAATTCCTCAGCTGATCTTATTTCCTCAAACTAAAAGCCTCTGTGTCCTCATCCGAATGGATCTCAGCTGAACTGCTGCTAAAAGCCTAAAAGCTTAACCAGGCTCTTAGTTCCTGGTCCTCACGCCTTATATACCTTACTGCTTTCTGCCATCACTTCCTGGGATTAAAGGTGTGTGTCACCATGCCTGGCTGTTTCCAGTGTGGCTTTAAACTCACAGAGCCTCTGGAATGCTGGGATTAAAGGCGTATGCTACCACTGCCTAAACCTATGTTTACTATAGTGGCTGTTGGGTTCTCTGACCCCCAGATAAGTTTAATGGGATGCACCATATATCAACCACACAAAAGAGTACAACAGGGCTGGACAATGCAGCTCAGTGATCAACTGGTGGCCCAGAATGCCCAAGACCCCAGCTTCATCCTTGGTTCAGGGAGATCTCCACAGCAGATCAAACAGTAAAGCAGTTATGAAAGCATGAACTACATTTTGGAGGAGGATTATTTGCAAAACTCCCTCCAAGTTAGGCAAAGTATAGTGAGATTAAATCTAACTTTAACAGAAAGAAACTTTCATGTATATCTGCAACCCTAAGCTTCCTTAGCTTTTACTTTGTAATCAATAAATCAATAATAATCAAGACAATGGCAAAAAAATCTAGAAACAACAAAAACTTGATAGTAGTATAATCTCATACAAAAACCTAAATCAAGTCATATAAAATAAATTTAAGTTTTAAATGGAAGCAGAAAAAATTACCAAGAGGCTAAGAAAAACAAGATGGCGGTTGAAAAGAAAACAGCCTTTTTCAAGGGGACACAAGATGAGCTGGCCTCCCTCTAAGTACTCCAGTCAATGTTGGAAAGAGGGGACATTTTCAAGACTACAGCACTGACACAAACATACCACCATGAGAGGGAAGAACAGCCCTAGTTTCTTCCCTTCAGAGCCGTTTAACCCAGGAACAGATGGCAGCTAACAGTGGAAATGGAACTTGCTGAAGAGATCACACACAGGACAGGCCCCAGAATCCAAAGCACATGCCCAAGATAGAGCTAAACTCTTCCAGAGGACCTAGGTTCAGTTCCCAGCACCCTGTGGCAGCTCAGAGCAGATCCCCTGTAACTCCAGGGGATCTGATGCCCTCTTCTCGCCTCAACAGGCACCAGACTCGTGGTACTGAGACACACATGCAGGCAAAACATCCGCCATACAAAATCAATTAAAAGTGTCAACATGAGACAGAAGGGCGCTTTACATGAAAATAATTCATTCAATTCCCAGACACTGGAACTGGAAGCAGGAGGAGTGAAACAGGAAGATTTGGAGCAAAGAATGAGTCTTGGAAGTGTCAGACTCAGTGGTAAACTTCTACACGACTACTAACCAAGTGAAGTTCAGACTTCTCAAATACAAGTCCAGATACCAGGCATCAGATCTTAAAGGAGACTATGACCAGAGATTCGGCCTTATTTGTTTTATGAAAAATAAATATCAAAAAGTATACCATCAATGTACTCAACACATTCTTGGGGAAAAAAAAAACACTAATTAAGCAAATGTTCTAATAGGAAAAAAATTGGCGTTGAGTACAAAAGAACAAAACCATGTCACATACATTAATGTTTCAAAAGTTTATGTTGTCTGAAGTGGGGTCTCAATATAGTTTTGCAGGCTGAACAAACCTGTTATCCTCCTGCCTCTGCTTCCCAACTGCTGGGATGATAAGGCATATCCAGCTCAAGAAATGTTAAAAAAAATTATGATACTAATGAAAATATCTTAAGTAAAACACTAGCTAAGTGGCCTATCATGTAGTAGAAAGGATAACACTACGTGATCTGAAGGTTTATTACAGAACACTAAGAGTGGCTGCATATTAGGAAACCTTACATTAATAAAAACTAAAAATAATGAAAACCGAAGGCTTAGGATGACATAACGGCTAAATAACCAAGTCAAAATGCAACGCTCCTTTCTGAAGGGGGGGTGGGGAGAAGCTAAGAGACAGCTCAGTGGAAAAAGCCCTTGCTCACACAAGCATGAGAATCTGAGTTCAGATTCCCAGTAAAGCCAGTCAGCCACATGAACCTGTAATCCTGGGGCTTCTACTTAATTAAGATGGGAGAATCCCAGGGATCTCCTCTGGGTCAGCTAGCCTGGCACAAAGGGTGAGCAAGACCCTACCTGAAACAAGGTGGAAGGCCAAGACCAACATCTAAGGTTCTTCTCTGACCTCTGCACAGGCTCATGTGTGTGCACAGACGCAGGATGTGCACTCGCTCAAGCAAGCACACACACAACAAAGAAACAGGGGTGTGGGGGGGGGATGTAGAGCAAAGGGAACACTCCTCCACTGTTGGTGGGAATGTAAACTTGTACAACCACTGTGGAAATCAGTATGGCGGTTTCTCAGAAAATTAGGAATCGAACTACCTCAAGACCCAGCCATCCCACTCTTGGGCATATACCCAAGGAATGCTGATTCATACCATAAAGATACATGCTCAGCTATGTTCATAGCAGCACTATTTGTAATAGCCAGAACCTGGAAGCAACCTAGATGCCCGTCAACGGAAGAATGGATGAAAAACATGTGGTACATATATACACAATGGAGTACTACTCAGCAGAGAAAAACAATGAAAGCATGAAATTTGCAGGCAAATGGATGGAACTAGAAAAAATCATCCTGAGTGAGGTAACCCAAACCCAGAAAGACAGTTATGGTATGTACTCACTCATTGGTGGATTCTAGATAATAAAATAAAGAACAATCAGATCACAAAAAAAAAAAAAGTCAAGTGTGGGGAAGCTTGGGGGGGAGGATGAGGGGTGGGGAGAGGGGAGAGGCAGGGATCTGTGGTTGGTATGTAAAATGAATAGAAAATTTCTTAATAATAAAAAAAGGGGAAAAGATATAGAGCTAGTAACTGAACCCCCCCCCCCAAAGTCAAGTGTGGTGATATAAAGGTCATCCTCAGCTATGTACTGAGTCCAGGCCAGCGTGGGCTACAAAAGACCCCCTGGGTCAATAAAGACAAAACAAAACCACAAAGAACTCCACTCCAAACAAACTTTATCTACTAGCAAATGACAAGGAACAACTACTACCATAACCTCTGCCCTGCTTTTCAGACAAGGGCTAAAGGTCCATTTATTTCACGGTGATCAAGGATCACAGGTATGCAACTCATGCTGGGTTTATGTTGTTACAAGAACCAACCTGTGATTTTATAGATATTAGGCAGGCATTGTCTAAGTGAGCCCCTTCACATGTGTGTGTGTACATACACACACACAGCACAGTAAATAAAATATTAGCTTACTCAAGACAAAGAAAACAGAGAAACCCTGTGGGGGGGGGCACTACAATTCAGTGTCTGCAAGTTACAAGCTTACAAACTAGCAAATCTAACAATCAACTAGAAAGTACTGAAAATAGCAAGGAATAGAAAGATACCCCCAGAACAGTAAATTTGTCCCATTTAGATAACAATTCAGAGTCAGGCTGTAAAAGATGAAGAAAATGAAGCATGCAAGAGCCATATCAAATACAAAACCAAAAGCTAAGCAGTGACTAGGAACAGAAGACCAGGATAATTCCTAATTGGGACAATAGAGGATTAAGGAAATTACTTCACCGACCAAATAATGAACACCTTGAATACAACTCAAAATACCAAGGAGAAATTCTTCCTGCAATTTGAGACTGTAAAATCAACTCTCAACAGCTGAGAAAAATAAAGGTCATTTAAGGGAGCGGAAGAAGGGCTGGGGAGATGGTTCAGTGGGTAAAGTGTTTGCTGTGCAAGCATTAAGGCCAGAGCTTGGAGCCCCAGAAGCCACATAAAATGCCATGTGGACAAGCAGTCCATTCCTGGAAGTGTTACAAGGAAGCCAGCCCCAGGACACGCTAGCTGCTCAGGGTATCTACAGACCAGTGGATCAATGAGATCTGGGTGGGACTGGAAGACAGATGGATGATCCTCAACATAACCCTGGGGCCTCCACATGTACACATATGCAAAAACATACATACACACATACATACTACACACATGAAAATCGAAAGAAAAAAAGGAATGGAAGAGTTTTGCTCTACTTGATACAGATGATAAGTATAAAAACAGTTAAATGCAGAATACAAACCAGCAATGCAAAAAGGCAATAAATTTAGCATAAAAAAGTTTGAGGGGCTGGACAGATGACTTCGTGGTCAAGAGCACTGGCTGTTCTTCCAGAGGACCTGGGTTCAATTCCCAACACCCACATGGCAGCTCACAACTGTAAATCCAGTTCCTGGGAACCGACACCCATAGCAAAACACCAATGTACATAAAATAAAAAAATAAATAAATTTAAAGAAAAAGTTTGAAATTAACAATAAAGCCAGCCATTTGAGAAAAAGTCTCCTTAAAGTACCATAATGGCAGAAGTGTCAGATCTTTAATTAGAGTACTATATTCAAAAACATTCAGAACTCATAAATGCACTCAGCAAAAAAAACAAGCCACATCTGACCATGTCTCCCCTACTTGCAGAGGGGTTATGTCATGTAACTGTAATCCTTAAACAGCATTTGAATATAGATACATATATAAAATTAACTATGTATTGAGTGAAAATCTTGTTGAGTAAAAACCTTTCCTATAATACTAAAGTTAAAAACCATTAACAACAAAAGTAATATAAAGAGAAAACATTTATGTAGCAATGATCGATCTATCAGCAAAATGGCTAAAGATTTGCTATCTTTACTAAAATCCAGAGCTTCCACCAATAAGGCAGACCTCAGTTGTTCAGGAAATTGTCAGTTCTTCCAAGAGTAATGTAACTATTCTACGAATGAACTGCTCCTAAGTTCATACAGATGTGTGCATCAAACTGTTACTGGATGCAGGCAGGGCTTTTGTTTACGATGGCATAACCTTCAATATCGCCCAGAGAGTTCAACATTACATTATGGCACATCCATACAGTGAAATACATACTACATAGCTACCAGAAAGACAAAATAGAGCCACCTATTTGGTAACAAATTAACAATGCTTTTTCTCCAAGAAAACAGAATTCTAGAATTTAGTCATTGTGGCTCCGGGAAGAAAGAAGAAAGTTAGTTTCCATCCAAAAAATTAAAAGCTTATAAAAAAAATTACAAGAGAAAAAAAAAGCCCGGACAATGGCATTTGAATCTGTTAGTAGTCCAGCATGCCTTAAATTACAGTGTTTATGCCTCTCATGATAAAGAACCGTCCCCACTTACATTAGCTGGTTGCTCTCAACAGGAACATCTCTGTCTTCACTGAGTTCCAAGCTATTACGCCTGTAGGTCGAACCAACACTCAATCCATGAATTAATAATAATGAGGTAGAAAGAATTTTCTTCCTCACATTGCCAAGGAAACCTCTCAGCCACAATTGAAACACAGGACGTGTTTTTAAAACGTCTTTAAAACATCTCCCAACTCTTGGAAGATTAAGTCCATTTGCATAACCTCTGTCAGACTGGAGACAGCTAACATTAGTTATCTCCTCAAAAACAAACAAAAAAGTTCACTTAAAGATGAACTCGAGATTCAAAGAATTAAAAAAAAAATGAAAAAAAAAAAGAATCCATCTTCCATAGCTGAGCAATATAATTAAAAAGTAAAAAGATGAAAAAAATTGAAAAACGAAAAAACAAAAAGCAAAAACAAAAAAACACCACCAAAATTCAATAAGATCCAATTTCTGGTCTTCAAGATTTCTTCACCTATTAAGAAAAAAAAACAGAAACCTTCCCCCATCTTTATTATCTGTATAATAAAAGCATACTGTATGTAGAAATATAAAGTGTTTTATGTATATAATATGCATATACATATATACTTATACACACACACAAATGTATAGAAATAAAACATTTGGATAATTATCCTTTTAAAATATAATATAAAAGCCTCCAGATTTGGGTTCATTATAAAAATAGTGAACTTAATTAACTCTTATATCAAAGTACCATGAAGTTAACGTTACTGAATTTTACCCAGCCACAAAATCAAGATGAAAAGAAATCCATGTGTATGGATACAGTGATATATATGTCAATGCCTATGGTATGTATAACAATCGTCATCAGGGGGTGTTTAACCAAAAAAGGTAGAAGCATATCGTTACAGAGTAACTACAGAGCGGGGCAGCGAGCTGAAGAAGGCAGAGCAGCATTACAGCCATTCCCAACCAGCTCGGTCGAAGAAACACAGAGCCGCTAAAGGAAGCTGTTTTTCCTCCTTTAGATCACACAAACCTCACTGGCATGGCATTCAATGCTGGCCCTGCAAAGGCTTGTTAAACTAGTTCCAATGCTTTACTATTGATGGTTACAGCTAAGGACTTCACTCCAGTTGGTAAAAGGGTAAATTTGGGGGAGATGAAATTTCACTTTACAATGAATGGTACATTTACCATTTAAGAATTAAAAAAAAAAAAAAAAGCTATTTTAATACACAGAAATGAGTTTCAAAACCAGCCCAGTAACAAAGCCATTTTGATTCTTATGTAATAAATACTACATACTTTCTAGGCTAAATCTTGCCAAGCACTATCCAAGACAAAACTAAAATCAAGACTTTAAAAAAAAGTGGACACCTTTTACTCACACTTAATACTAGTCAATTTTCCAGGAATTTTTTGGGCAGGGAATATCCCCAAATCTAAAATGAAAAAAAGGAAAAATTGGGATCTTACATTAGTTATTCAGTCTGAAACGTCTAATAGACTTAATAAAAGTCATTATTTTCTGGCCTCCCACTCAGTCATAGAAACAGACTCTCAGAGTGGAAAGGAACCTGAAAGGGCCACTGAGATCAGTTTACTCATTTCAACAACAATGCCAAACAGTAAAATATAACTGCTTATTTCAGTTAATACAGGGGCCCAAAAGTCATAGTTAGGAATACCATGCTATGGACCATAAAGTATCCTTTAAAAAAAAAATGAACAAACTACAGAAATATTCTCTGGGAAACTCATACTGGGTTTTCCATATTCATGAGGCTTGTATTCTAAACCCCACTCAATGTTTTTGGTTTTACAAATGTTTAATGTTTACTAATAGGTTACCTATATAATCTTGTTTTTGTACTGTATTATAAAAGACTAGCAGTCTTTTTTTTCTAGTTGTTTTTTAATGTTCTTTTATACAGACTTAATCCTAACTATAAAGGGCAATTTTATCATACCCAGTCATCTGACATTACAAACAGACTAGTATGAGGTAATTATGAATTTCCAAATATGAAACAATTTTGTGGGTTTTCATTCTGTCAAGTTGTGTCAGGGGTTTTAAAGAAATTAAAAAATAGGGAAGGGAAAGAATATGTTAGTGCAACCACTAACACATTCTAAACACCTTTGTGCTTACAGAAGTCCTGAATCACAATACTTACACAAATCACTGATTTCAGAGTAATCAAACCTTCCATGTTGGAAGAAATTTTTACTCAAATCAATGACTAGTTCAATCAACCAACCAGAAATACCTAAGCCCTTCAAAGCTGCACTGCCTTTTCTCATTCACTCTTTTTCTCTCTCAACTGATATGACGCTTTGATCGATGTTAGCTACACTGAGTGACTACTGTGAAATCTTCAAAGTTAACCTTCATTTCTTCTTCATCATCATCATATGGCCTCTGCGGAGTTTTCAGCTTTCTTATACCTTTGGATTTCCCCGGGTTTTGCATTTTTGTAAGACAGGATCTTAATTGTTGCCCCGGCTGGTCTCAAATTCATGTGCTAAAGTTATAATCCAGCCTCACCATCTCAAATAGCCAGGACTACAGGCACCCGTGACCACACCCAGCTATTTTTTTTTAAAGAATAAATAGTATGACTACATATAATAACAACAGCAAGAAGATATAGTAATATAGCAAAAGCTGCCCATTTTAAGTAGAAAAAGGAAAAAGAAGTTAAGGTAATATTTCTTTTTCATTGTTCTGAACAGCCTTATTTTCAGGGTCCCAGCTCAGAATCAATGTAGAATAGTCATAGTTAACATTCTCCAAGTTCATTTTCAGAAATATCAGCTGTTCTACATTATCAAAGTCCATGTTCATGATCTGCTTTGGATGAAAGTGGCTATTTGTGGTAAACATGCACTCCGATTGCCAACTACACATGGGGCAACTCAGGTACTGAATGGCAACTTGGGTCAAAGCTGGCCATACGCTCACCTTCCTCTGCCAGTAAACCAAAGGGTCGTCACCTCCTGAGAGCTCTGAGTACTTCTCTCTGAAGTACTCATCCACTACTGCTACAGCAGAGGGGAACAGGAAGCTTTTGCTTCCAACAGCAACACTGGCTGCGGCTGAGCTATCCACAGAACCTGAATGGGAGGTGCCTTCTTTTATAGAAGTAAATGAATCAGTTCCTAATCTAACTAAAGGGCCAGATGCTTCCGAGGTTGCGATTTGGCAGGCCCCGGGCGACGATTCCATATAATTACAAACCTCTTCTGCAAGGATCTGTTTATAAGTCTCTAAATCAGCACCTTGAGGAAAAAAGTCTTCCAAACTGTTCTTAAAACAAGGATCTAACAAAGTAGCCAAGATACAATGCTTGGATTTGAGCATGGCACTTAGTAGGGCATCAGTTTCAAGTTTCAAAGATAAACTGTCTACCAGATTAAGGGCCTGAGTAATACCTCTGACTTGAAAATCTTCTCTGAGTCTCTGCAGGGAAAAGAGGAGATGATGGATTAGGGGCAGCACCTGATTCAATCCCGTGGTCTTTACACTCACTTTCTGGGTGGCTTCCTCAAATGGCTTAAGAATATCACACACATATGTCATTAGAGTCCACTGGAGTGAAGTGAGCACAACTCCACTGGCTCGACCCAGACTGTGGTGAACAGAGTAGCAATGCTCTAGAAGCCATTTTAACATGTAAAAGGTAGAGATCCAGTGGCCACTTTCATCCTGCTTCAGATTCTTCCACGGAAGCTGGTGATCGTTCTGGAACTCTTGTAGTATCTGGCGGGCTTTGACTGAATGGCTAAAATGATGGCAGGTTTTTCTAGCAGCCACTAACATATTTTCAATGCTTTTGTGCTCACAGAAGAAGTCCTGAATCACTATATTTAAACAGTGCAGGAAGCATGGCACATGGGTAAAACCACCTCCTTTGATGGCATGTACCACATTCGAGGAGTTGTCAGAAACAATGAAGCTAGGGATAAGAAAATTAGGAGAAAGCCACAGACCAATCTGGTCATTTAATTCTTGTAAAATGTTAGTTATCAAACAGTCTTTGGCTAGGCCTGTAACACAAAGTACTGCCCACTTTCTAAAATTGGGGCTCCCACCACTACTGGGGGGAGATGCAGTTTCCAAAGAGACCCAGTGTACAGTCACAATGAAATAGTCTGTGGAAGGGTCATGGGTCCATATGTCAACAGTCAGGTGGATCTTTTGGCTTTGAACATTCTCTAAAGTTAGGAAAATCTTTTCTCTAACAGAATCATATAACTGAGGTACAGCTTTGGTGAAAAAATAAGTCTCTGATGGCAATTTATAGTCAGGAGCAACAATTTGTAGAAACCGCTGAAAAGCTGGGGTTGAGAAATAGTTGTAAGGGTGCATATCTTCCACAATCATCTGAATAAGCGCCTGACTTATCCGACTGGAGGCTGAATTCTCACAATGTGGTGGTGTTTCTCTCTCTTGTGCATGCACCGGGTTGGCTTGCTCTGCAACAGGAACAGGACTCTCAGATCTAGGTTCAACCTCTAAAACAGGAGGTTCATCAGCATCCGAGTCACTAAGGTCCTCAGCTGTTAAATCCTGGCTGCCTGATGACTTCTCTCCATGCAAAGTATCATTCAAGAGATCACTGCTCTCGGTCTCAGTCTCATCCAATCCATTTCCAATAGCACCATTGTCTTTGTTGGCAACAGCCCAGTGGATGGGATGTGTGGCCTGAAGGTGCCGTTGAAGTGTGGACGTTCCCAGGTGGGAACCTGGCCTACCCCGGCTCACGCTTCTTTTACATATGTTACACACAGCTCTTGAGACGTGCTGAGGATCAGTATAAAAAAAATTCCAAACTGCAGATGTCTTGGCTCTGGTTCCAGGAATTAAGGCATGCTTGACAATGTTGCTTTTGATGAGAAATCGCCCTCTTTTTGCCCTCAGGGCATCAGACGCTGATTTATCACGTTTCTTACCCATTCTGTTTTCATCTAATGAATCTGTAGGAATATACTCAAAGCTTCCATTGCTCTCAGGAGAAGAAGGAGATAAAGACAAATCCAAGGTAAAGTCCTCCTCCCCATTAGTGACTCCAAACTTGTTGGCCCTGGTCCAGTGAGGAGAATGCCTTGCCTGGAGATGTCGTTGAAGAGTAGATGTACCCAGATGGCTGCCTGGCTTGCCCCGGCTGACACTCTTTTCACACAGGTTACAAATAGCTCTCCAGGTATACTGGGGGTCAACATGAAAGAAGTGCCATACAATGGAGGTCTTGGCTCTGGTACTGGGGAGATAGATTTGCTTGTCTATATTGCTCTCAAAAAGACTTTCTTCATCTTGCTCAGGGGCACTGGACGCTAACAAAGCAGGGGCATCTGCAACAGGTCTTCCAGACCCCAAATCCTTACTAAACTTCTTGGCAAGGATCAGTTTCTTTCGGCGCCTTTTCCCCTTAATTCGCAAACCCTTCTTTCTTTTCTTTTTAGCAGGTAATTTTGTCTCTTTGTTCACTCCTTCTGCCACCATCTTTCCCTCTACCACATCGTCGTCTTCTGCATTTGAATTAATGGAAACACATCCCAGAATCCCAGCATCACTGAAAGTCCTGCATCTTCGGCCAGGAGGAAGCGAGGAAACTGGTACACTCAAAGTACATACACTCATTCTCTTGGTCTCCAAACTCCGTACCAGAATCTTCCGGGGGGTTTACCACTCCGGCAGAAATACAGCGGTCCCTCTCCACTTGTATTACCTTTCCTCCAGTTCCTATGGGCGTCAAATTCCCTTTCACCCAATGACTTTCCAGCGAGGTTATTTTTGGAGGAAAAATAACAGCAGTGGAGGACATTCCCAAACTCTGTCTTGCAGGGCGTCAGGAGTCCTTTTAACTTTCTGAATTCAAACAGTCCAGTGTCCTCATGTTATAGAAAAAAGAACTGAGGCCCATTTTCCCACAGTCATGGAATCTAGAGCAGCTAAAAGTCAGATCTTCCAAATCCAAGGTTCATACTAATGCTGCTGTTATCAAGGACTTCATCTGCTGGAAATGCCTTCAGTTCTTAAAATGTGTACTTTGAATGAATCCACATGACAACATTGACTTTCCCTTAATTTGGGGGTTATTTTCAGGAAATTCCACTTAAATATCATTCAACAGTCATCATTTAGGACTATGATTTGCCAATACAACCCAAAAAAGTCAATTCTGGAAAGCTAAATCAGATTCCACATACTGGTCATTAGCAGTAAACTCTAGTTGTGCCCTTTCTGTTCTGACATTTTGAAAAATGTAGGTGGCTGAAAAAAAAATTTATCTGGAAATAAAATCTTAAAACAAGGTAACAAGCTGTATTTTTCATTTACGGTTTCTATCAAGAGTACATATTCTTAGACTGAAAGCAAAGCGTTACAGCCTGTTAATAGTTCACAAGTTGACATTCTATGAGCAACAAAAGTGAAATGAGCTTGAATAAAACACTTGCACTCCTCTTCCGTGGATCCCCTCCCCTGCCCCCAACACCAACACGTTTACCCTACGAAAGCATGGCTATCACTAGCTCCACAGCCGCCGCCTCAGAGTTCACAACCAAAGCCTGGCAGATGTCAACAAAACGCGCCTTCCCCATAGGGATCCGCACCGATTATGGGCATCTAAGGGGTGTTCTTCAATACGGTCTCACCAATCCTACAAGAACGAAGAGTCCCTGTAGCTCTTGACTCCGATGACGAGGGCTGGGGTGGGAGAGGAATCAGGGTGGGGAATGGGAAGAGGACACCAGAATTCGACTACGTAAGTGGAACATGAGAAAAATCTCCCAAGTAGTGGGACCCTAGAGAGGAATGAGAGTAGGTAAACTCGGGTCCAGGCACTCGTTCAGATTTAGGGAGGGAGGGAGGGAGGGTCGGCTTAACTAAAGAGACGGGTTCTGGAAAGAAAGCAACCTAGCGTCTGTTCTTCCTCCGGGGGTCCGAAACAGCCGCTCCTCAGGGGCGACCCGGGAATCCCGGTTCCGGAACACCGGATATGGGGGGAGGGGAAGAGGTTGGCAAGGGAGCAGGCGCCGTGGGGGGTGGGGCGGAGCGGGTGGGGGCGGGGAGGGTGGGAAAGTGAGCCGGAGTCTGGCTAGGAGCCCGGCCGGCCAGGGCCGCGGGCGGGAGTCCCGGGAGCTGCCGCGCCGATGGGGCCCAGCTCGGACTTCCCGGGCTAGGCCGAAACTCGGGCGAGGGGAGGCCGCTGCCACTCCCCTCGCCCTCTCCTCCCTCCCAGGCCCCAAGTCACCCGGGAATCAAAAAACGGGTCTAGTTACCAGAGAACAGAAACTTTACCGAACCGATGACACTGTCAGGGGTTCCCGCGTGCTGCCACGTCTTTCTCTTTCCTTAGCCGCGGTCGCCCGCCGTCCTCACAGCAGCAGAACAAGCAGAAACCCAAGACTGCCAGCGTCAAAGATGGCGCCCGGCTACAGGCTGGGCTCTAAGGCTGGGCCAGTAAAAGTGCCAGCACGACGCAAGCGCAGGCATTCTGGGAGTTGTAGTTTCCTCTATGAGGCGAGCCTTAAGATGGCTTCTTGGGTCATAGGGTCACGTGCCACGGAGGCGCGGGGACGTGACGTTCTTTCTCCGGACCGGGATGGCTCTCCGAAAGTAACTTTTCACCAAAGTTTCGTTGTCAATTCACAGGAGATAAGCAGGAAACCTGTTTTTAACCAGAGTTTGTATAATGACTAAGTCGTCCAAAGTTGATATAAATTTAATTAAAAATCAGCGCTAAACCCGGCTGGCTGTTGGGGCACACGCCTGGGGAGGCAGAGGCAAGCGAATCTCTATAAGTTCGAGGCCAGCCTGGTCTAGAGCGCGAGTTCCAGGACAGCCAGGGCTCCACACAGAGAGAGACCCTGCCTCAAAAGTCCAAAAGATGGGGGTTGGGTATTTAGCCCAGTGGTAGAGCGCTTGCCTAGCCCTGGGTTTGATCCTCAGCTCTTGGGGGGGGGGGGTGTCCAAAAAAAGAAGAGGAGGATGGGAAGAGGGAGGAGAGAAATAAAAAGAAAGGAAGGAAGGAAAGAAAGGAAGACTCAAAAACTAAATAAATAAATCTGCTCTAGGGCAGCGCGGAGTTCATAATTCGATCATCTAGTAGATTTGTAATCCCATCACCCATTAAAACAAGCCAGGTGTGCCGGGCGTTGGTGGCGCACTCCTTTAATCCCAGCACTCGGGAGGCAGAGCCAGGCGGATCTCTGTGAGTTCGAGGCCAGCCTGGGCTACCAAGTGAGCTCCAGGAAAGGCGCAAAGCTACGCAGAGAAACCCTGTCTCGAAAAAAAAAAAAAAACAAGCCAGGTGTGAAAAACAAACTAGGTGTGGCAGAGGCAGGCAGATGTCTGTGAGTTCAAGTCCATTGTGGTTCACATCGTGAGTTCCAGTATAACTAGGACTATTTCGAGAGACCCTTTCTCACAGATCAAAATAACAACAAAAACATACTGTAGGGTTGAGGATGTATAATATATAGTTTAGAGTCAGGGCTCAACTTTTGGTGCACCGCACTTCCATTAAAGAATCTCCTTTTCAGCCGGGCGGTGGAGGCGCACGCCTTTAATCCTAGCACTCGAGAGGCAGAGGCAGGCGGATCTTTGTGAGTTCAAGGCCAGCCCGATCTACAGAGCGAGTTCCAGGAAAGGAACAAAGCTACATAGAGAAACTCTGTCTCAGGGGAAAAAAAAAAGAAAAAGAAGAAAAGAAACTACTTTTCTCATGCAAAGTTGAAGGACTTGCAGGATAGGAAGTTTTTTGTTGTTGTTTGTTTGTTTGTTTGTTTGTTTGTTTTTCTGGTTTTTGGTTTTTCGAGACAGAGGTTCTCTGTGTTGTTTTGGTGCCTGTGAGTGCTGGGATTAAAGGTGCGCCGCCACAGCCCAGCGCAGACAGGAAGTTTTGCTCAGGGTTTCCTTTATTTGGTTACATTTACCTGTTTGTTTGTTTGTTTGTTTGTGTCTTTTGAGATGGAGCTTGCTCTGTAGACCATGCTGGCCTCCAATTCGTAACAATCCTGCCTCTGCCTCTTCAGTTCTAGGACCACAGACATCTGCTATCATGACTGGCTAGTTGCTTTTCTTTCTTAAAACGAATGTGTGTTCAAAAAATAATTCCTCTTGATAAGAAAGTTCTAAGGTAGCACTGTCTGTAAAGCACTTTCCATGGAAGCCTGGTGGCGTCAGATCCCAGAATCCATAAAGTTGTCCTCTGACCTTTGAAGGTATTCTGTAGCAGGAAGAGGGAAAGAAAGGAAGAAAGAAAGAAAAGAAAGAAAGAAAGAAAGAAAGAAAGAAAGAAAGAAAGAAAGAAAGAAAGAAAGAAAGAAAGAAAGAAAAGAAAATTGTGAAGGGAGCCAGGGTTCTGAGTTCAATTCCCAGGTTGGGGAGCATCAGGAAGTTTAGGAAGAGCCGGAGAGAGGGAGGAATTTTTTATTAAGGTTGGGGCCAAAAAGGAAAAAAATACAAGCAGTTGCCTCTCTTTCATTATTCACATATCCCGTACTTTCTCTATTGAAAGTGTCTCCAAAAACAAACACCAAAGTACTAAGTAGATTGGGTAGAAGTTAGAAGCTGCACCAACCTCATTTCTGGGAAATAATCTCCTACTAATTTAGCATATATCCTAACTTCTTATACACAGTTTTATATAAGTATCACATTGGTAGAGATATTAGTGACAATGCAATACACCTTTTAAAATTGTACACGGGAGGCTGAAGAGATGGCTCAACAATGAAGAGTAAATATTCCCCTCCTGCAGGTTCCAAGTTCGATTCCCAGCATCTGTGCTGATGGTTCACAACTATCCAACAGTCCAGGGACTCTGACACCTTCTTGTCCTCTTACAGGCAGCATTTGTACTCATGCTTGTACATACTCACCCCACATCTCTACACATAATTTAAAATAAAATAAACAGTATTTTATTTTGCTATTTTGTGTGGGTGGCTGTTTTGTCTGCATGTGTGGCTGGCCATCATGTGCATGTAGTGTCCTCAGAGGTCAGAAAGGGGTATCATCCCCTAGGGCTGGAATTACAGATGGTAGATGGATGTGAGCTGTCCTGCGGGTGCTGGGGACTGAATCTGGGTCCTCTAGAAGAGCAGTCAGTGATTCTGAGTCATTGCTCCAGCCCCCCCCCCCCCCCCAAAGAAAGCTTTTTCTTTTTCTTTCTTTCTTTCTTTTTTTTTTTTTTACATTTTTGTTGGGGGTGGTGGTGGTGGAAAGGTTGAGAGGTCAGAGGGCAATTTGCAGGAATTGGTTCTTTTTTTTCCCCCTTGTTTTTTTTTATTATTATTATTTTAAGATTTATTTGTTCGTATATTTTATATATACACCAGAATAAGGAATCTGATCATGGTTGTCAGCCACCATGAGGTTGCTGGGAATTGAACTCAGGACCTCTGGAAGAGCAATCAATGCTCTTAACCACTGAGCCATCTCTCCAGCCCCTTGGTTCTCTTTTCGCCTTGTGAGTCTCAGGGATCAAACTCAGAGCCAGGCTTGCCAGCGGGTGCCTTTACCCACTGAGTCAGCTCACTGACTCCTTTTCTTTTTCTTTTTCTTTCTTTCTCTCTTTCTTTCTTTCTTTCTTTCTTTTTTCTTTGTTTGTTTGTTTGTTTGTTTGTTTTTTGAGACAGGGTTTCTCCATGTAGCCCTGGCTGTCCTGGAACTCACTCTGTAGACCAGGCTGGCCTCAAACTCAGAGATCTGCCTGCCTCTGCCTCCTGAGTGCTGAGATTAAAGGAGTGCGCCACCATTAAAGGTGTACAACTACAGAGAGGCAAAACAACAACAACAAAACCAAAAACCCAAAAACAAACAAAAACCTTAAAAAAATAATGAAAGGCTAAAATTGACCCCCAAAAGTTGTTCTCTGTCCTACACACACACACACACACACACACACACACACACACACACACACACAGATACTTTTTTTTGGTTTTTTTGAGACAGTGTTTCTCTGTGTAGTTTTGGTGCCTGTCCTAGATCTCACTCTGTAGACCAGACTGGCCTCGAACTCACAGAGATCCGCCTGGCTCTGCCTCCCAAGTGCTGGGATTAAAGGCATAGGTCTCACCCGGCTGATAAATATATTTTGAAAAAAAGATATGACCTCTGGGCCTGGTATGGTAATATACACCTGTAATTCCAGTATAGTACTCAGGAGGCAGTGGTGCATCCCTTTAATCCCAGCACTGAGGAGGCAAAGGCAGGGAATCTCTGAGTTGAAGCCATCCTTGTCTACAGAACAAATTCTAGGATAGCCAAGGCTACACAGAGAAACTTTATCTGGAAGAACAAATTTATGTAATCAGAAGTTTTCCCTCACCATGGTTTGTTCCCAAATACCCAGCAGCTGCTTTCCAAATTACCACACAGAGACTTATATCAGTTATAAATGCTCAGCTGATAGCTTAGGCTTGTTACTAGCTATCTCTTACACTTAAATTAACCCATAATTCTTATCTATATTTAGCCACATGGCTTGGTACCTTTTCCAATAAGACATTCTTTGCTTCTTTGTGTTTTCCCTCAATTCTCTGACTCTGCCCTTTCTCTTCCCAGAATTCTAGTCTGGCTCTCACACTCAATCTCTTCCAGCCCAGCTGTTGGCCAATAAGCTTTATTATTAACAATGAGCATAATCCGCAGCAACTTGAAGTTGTAATGACAGGTAAGCCAGCACAGGGGCACTCAGGGCCCTCCTGAAAGTTCACTTTGTTTTATTTTTTGTCACGGGTTTGTTTGTTTGTTTGTTTTCTGTTACTGTATTTTGAAACAGAGTCTCACTGGACTTGAACTAGTTCTTCTCCCTCAGCTTCCCAGTGCAGAGCTTATAGACCTGTACAGCCGGCCTTCACTTGTATTTAGATGACTGTGCTAGGTAGGCATTGGAGAATTTGAAAATAGGGCATGTTCCTGTCCATATGAAAGTTTTTCTGAAGATACGATAAATATCAATAACAAATAATATCTATCAGGCAATAAATACACCAAGCATCAAGTTGTGGTTTAGACTGAAGTTACAAACTACATTTTTACACAATCCAGATGTATGTATGTATGAGTATGCTAAGACTGTAACTCAAGCATGCTTTAGTGAAAGGGCCAGCTGTTATATTACCCTTAACTCCAGCCTCTTTGTACCAAGAAGGAATGGAATGCAGGCCAAGTATCAGCATGTCTTCTGAGATTTTTAAAGAGAGCAGGAGAAAAAGAAGGAGTGGGCGGAAGCACTCACCAGAGATTCGGCTTTGTGTGTGTCTGTGGGCTCAGATGTGGGCTTGTGGAGGTTAAAAGCCTGTTTCAGCTGCTGCCCTCAGCTGCCATTGCTCCCACCATCTGTCCTGGAACTCACCAAGCAGACCAGGGTGGCTGGCGGGCGGCAAGCCCCCGGGCCTCAGCCTCCCTAGTGCTGAGATTACAAACCCACACCACGCCTGATGTTTCACGTGGGTTTTAAGAATCAAGCTGAGGTCCTCATGATCCTGTGGTCAGCCATTATTCACGAAGCTATCTCCTCAGCAGCCCAGAATTCAGATTTCTAGTGAAAAAAGCCAAACTTCTAAATTTGGAAGCTCCTTCAAAAACCTCACTTTATGGACTGATTTGCAATCTCTACCTTCCAATTTCTGTCAAGGAATTAAAGCAAAGTTTAAGCAGTGAAGGAAACCATCAACAATAGAAAGCTGATACAATTGTAATTCAACCCAGGGGGCCAAATTCCAGCCCTAGCAATCAGCAGAATTACCAGTTGTGGCAAGGTGGTTCTGGCTTTAGAGACGAAGATAATAAGAAACGGGTTGTGGAATCTCCCACAGGGGCTAAGGGAAGCTGATAAGGCCAAGTGTCCCTGCAAGGAGGCCTAGAGATGCCCTTGTGTGAAGCTGTAAAGGGGAAGCCTGGATTACATTGGAGACCCCAAGGTGTTGGAGATGCCAGAGTTCTGGGTTAACTGCCAAGGAAAGCTGCAGACCAGGTATGGAAGCAGCCCAACAGGGGGGAAAAAAGTGTGCTTTAATTAACAGCGCTGAACGGGTTGGACATCTGAAGAGCACTTCGACATCAGACATAGAGATGCAGAATTTGGAGTTTGCCTGGCTGGGTTTTGGTCCTGGGTTGGTCCATTACTTCCTCCCTATGCGCCTTTCCCCACTTTTGGAATGGTAACGTATATGGTGCATTGTATGCTGCAAGTATGTGATCTGCTTTTATTTATTTATTTATTTATTTATTTATTTATTTATTTATTTATTTATTTTTGAGACAGGGTTTCTCTGTGTAGCTTTGTGCCTTTTCCTGGAACTCACTTGGTAGTCCAGGCTGGCCTCGAACTCACAGAGATCCGCCTGGCTCTGCCTCCCTAGTGCTGGGATTGAAGGTGTGCCCACCACCACCCGGCCTTGAACTCTTAATCTTGCTGCCTCATCCTTCAAATGCAGGGATTACAGGTGTATGCCACCACGTGTGACTTGAATCTACATTTCTGACATCATTCCCATTGCTGCTGCCGAGTGCAAACCTAGACACCATTGCTTACCATCCACTTCGCCTTTGTCTCCGGTTGTCCTGCCTCTCCATCTTCTTCTTTCTTTAACTGCCTTCCAATCACAGAAACTCTCCCGCTCCCTCTTCCTCCTCTCGTCTCAAGTAATTCAGGGTAGCTTTGAACTCACTGTGTAGCCAAGAATGACCTTTGCATTCCTGATCTTTCTGCCTCCATCTCTCAAGTCAAAGATTACAGGTATGGGCCAGAATGTCTCTTTAAAAATACAAATATGAACAGCTTTCAATATATACACACTCACTGGTTCATAGAAAAATTTCTTTCTTTCTTTTTTTGTGACAGTTTTCTCTGTGTAGCTCTGGTTGTCCTGAACCTCACTCTGTAGACCAGGCTTGCCTTCGACTCACTTGGACCACCACCCAGCCAGCTAATTTTCTTTATTTATTTATTATTTATTTATTTATTTATATATATATTTATATATATATATATATATTTTTTTTTTTGTTTGTTTGTTTGTTTTTCGAGACAGCGTTTCTCTGCGTAGCTTTGCACCTTTCCTGGAGCTCACTTGGTAGCCCAGGCTGGCCTCGAACTCACAGAGATCTGTCTGGCTCTGCCTCCCGAGTGCTGGGATTAAAGGCGTGCGCCACCACTGCCCGCTTCTTTAAAAAATATTAACAGTTGATCAGGGGCATGGTGTTGCATGCCTTTAATCCCAGCACTTGGAAGGCGGAGGCAGGCAGATCTATGTGAGTTTGAGGCCAGCCTTATCTACAGAGCAAGTTCCGGGACAGCCAGTCTACACAGAGGAACCCTGTCTCAAAAAATAAATAAATAAAAATATCAACAGTCAACTGTAGTGGCACATACCATAATATTGTAATACTAGTATTATGAGGTATAGGCCAGAGGATCACCACAAATATAAAGCCAGCTTGGTTTACATAGTAAGAACCATACTAGCCAAGGAGACAGAGTGAGACCCTTTCTCAAAAACCAAAAAATATCTACTGTAATAAATCCACATGAGACTAAGATAGACTATCATGCTAATTAAGCCAGTTAAGACTAGGAATTCTTATTGCAGGTGGTGGCACACACCTTTAATCCCAGCACTAGGGAGGCAGAGCCAGGTGGATCTCTGTGATTTCCAGGCTATCCTACTCTACAGAGCGGGACCCAGGACAGGTACCAAAACTACAAAGAGAAACCCTGTCATGAAAAAACAAAACAAAACAAACAAACAAACAAAAACTATAAGAATTCTTAAGTTTTGGCCAGCAACCGAGATCAGGCTAATGCCTCAAAGTTTCTTGGTTCTGAAGCTCAGGGATACATTTTTAAAGGCAAAATCCAGAGAAATCACAATTACATCAACATTAGATGAAGGCCAGAATAACCTTGAAATACTTGTTTTGAAAGAACATAGTAGTTATTTCAGACATAACGTCATGGGACGATTAAATTTTGACTTGTACCTTCTTTAGTTAGTTTAAGTTTGTATAAACATTAATTATTTTGGTTAATGCATCTGGGCCATGGTCAGAATCATGGGAATGCCAAATGTGTTGCCAAGGCGGACATGACTCTTGGGGTGGGGACATAGAAGGCTGGGAAGTGTCTAAACAGACACAAAATGGAGTCAGGACAGGATAGCATTGTCTCAGTCACTTTATATTAGCACTGCTTAACTGAGGAGAAACGGGGGTCATGTCTGAGGTAGGAGGATATTTACATTTGGTTTGGGTTCCAATTTTATTTTACTATACATTACTTTCATTATAGAAAAACTAGTTTTTAAAATCTCTGTATACTTTGACTTAGCAATTCTACATTGAGCTGTTTATTTGATAGCAGTAGTCACACATGGGCAAGGATAATATGCAAGAACATGGTGTACCTAAGTGCCTATAAATATTCCCAGGGCTAAATATTAAATATTACAGCCAGGCTGGAGAGATGGCTCAGCAGTTAAGAGCACCGACTGCTCTTCTAGAAGATTCACTGGGTTCATGGTGGCTCACAGCCATCTGTAACTCCAGTTCCAGAGGATCCAATGCCCTTTTCTGAACTCCACAGGCACCATACATACATGCAGGCAAAACAACCATAAATACAAAAAAAAATTTTTTTAATTAAAAAAAACATTGCAGCCATAAAATGAAGCTTCATGCTGTCGTTAAGCATATTCATGTTGAGCTGGGTGGTGGTGGTGGTGGTGGTGGTGGTGGTGGTGGTGGTGGTGGTGGTGCACGCCTTTAATCCCAGCACTCAGGAGGCAGAGGCAGGCAGATCTCTGTGAGTTTGAGGCCAGCCTGGTCTACGGAGCAAGATCCAAGACAGGCACCAAAACCACACGGAGAAACTCTGTCTCGGAAAAAAAAAAACAAACAAACAAAAAACCCAAGAATATTTATGTTATGTTGCCAGGCAGAAGTAGCGAAAGCCTTTAGTTCCCAAAACCGAGAGGCAGAGGCAGGCAGATCTCTGAATTTGAGGTCAACCTGGTCTACAGAGCAAGTTCCAGGGCAGCCAGGGCTCCACAGAGAAACCCCTATCTTGAAACAAAGAAGCACCCCCCTTTCCCCACCCCCTGCAAAAAAGAATATTCACGTTAAAAGCTGGGCATGACGATGTACACCTTCAATGCTTGGGAGGCAGAGGTAGGCCGATGTTGTGAGTTCTAGTCTACAGTGAGTTCCAAGACAGTCAGAGCTATGTAGAGAGACCCTGTCTCAAAAAAATATAAAAAAAATAAATAAATGAAAGAAAAGAAGTCAACGTTGCTACATGCTAACACACAGAGGCACGTGATATCTGAAGTTCTAGACCAAAAGCCCAGCTCTGAGGATCCCAACAAATCAGGTCCAGTGACTTGCCCCAAAGCCAAATGCAAAAAGTAATGGACAAGGGGAATGTGAGTCAGCATCACTATACTGGGAAGACAAGGAGAGCAGCATCCTCAGCTCTGTCTTCTGGGTACTGACATGAGCTCCCAGACTGTAAGAGGAGAGGACAGAAAGCCGGGCCAGAGGTACATCAGCTCTCTCCTCAGTCTTTTTCAGACTATGATCTGCTTGATCACTCTCTCAGGACTGCTCAGCAGGCCCTTGTCCTCTGTAAGAGGGCTGTCATGGCTCCGGGGGTGGATTCCACCCTTATCACCAGGTGTTTCTCCATCAGACCTGCTGTTTGTTCCGGGACTCCATGTGACTGCAGAACAGAATGACTTAGAACAATGAACACAGGAGCCAAAGGGAGGCAGAGAAGCCAAAGGCGGCTCTCCCCCTCCCCACCCACTCTTTATCATGATATACTGGAATTTATTGTAGCTATAAACCCAGATCAACATTCAGAACTTGGACAAAGCAACCCATCTTATCAACAGGCTACCGAATGATAACCGCCATTCCCAATACAAACTCTAAATAACTTGGGATGGAAATTTGCTGAACTGGGTAAGGAATATCCATACAAAACCCTCTAGCCAGAACAGCTGTTCTAAAGCAGTGGTAATTCTCCTAGGGTTTTACACTTTCACTGTCCCATTTCTAGTCATTTAAGCACCACCACCATCACACACACACACACACACACACACACACACACACACACACACACACAAAAGAAAAAGAAATGATGGAGTTGAAACTAGAAAAAAATAGTAATTGTATAGAAGTTCACTGAGACATATAGTTTGGGACTGCACAAATATTTGAGTGGCTGTCTTTTCTTTCTTTCTTTCTTTTTTTTTTCTAAGACAAGGTTTCTCAGTGTATCTTTGGCTGTTATCCTGGAACTTACTCTGTAGACCAAGCTAGTTTCGACCTCACAGAGATCCGCCTGCCTCTGCCTCCTGAGTGCTGGGATTAAAGGCATGCGCCATCGTCGCCCATTGGTAGTGGCTATCTTAATCCAGTGGTGTGATGGTTTTACTTGTAAGTTCATTGGAACAAAGTAATTCTTAGTTTTGGGCGTTTCCTTGGCTGTCAAGAACAAGGCAATTATACCCTCTTTCAGCTTCTTAATTCAATGCCATACTGGAAGGTCTTGCTGGAAGGAAAAGGGAAAAGAAAATAAGGAGGACTATGGTTTAGAAGGTGGGCTCAATATTTGCTAATAATGTTGTTTATAACATTATTATGTCCTGAGGAATCTACAAAACATCTTCAGGCATGTATTTCTTTTTCTTTTTCCTTTTTTTTAAACATAAAAACAGGTTATAATTCAAAAGTCCAGGGTTATTTTAAACAGTAAAATATTTTCTCTGTAGAAAATAGTAAAAATGATAACATTTCCCAATAAGCCCTTTTAAGCCAAATGATAGCTGAATTATACACATAAATATTGATTAGATTCTGGGATACAGAAGAAACCTGTCTTCATCTGTTCAGAGAGCTGTGTTTTACTTAAGTTGTGTAAGTGAGACTCCTATTCATCTTCCCCTTCACTGTTTGATTTACGGCAGACATTTTTCTATAGGCTAATCCATAATCTAAAGAGATTTTAGCCTCCCCTCCTGAAAGTATGGCCAGCATTTTTTTCATCAGCTTGACACAGTACAAATTCTTACCCTAATAGTGAAATGTTTCACTAAAGCTTGCCCAGTGATTGGGCAAAACCAAAACTTACTATAAGCCACAGTCATCCTAGGTTCCCCTCAGGCATATATTTTTTAGTTTACACTGAAATGATGTGGTGATATTTTGTTTGTGAGCTAACAGATAAGCTTGCCTGAAGATCAGAGTTTGGAGCTAAACCACTAGTTAGCCATAGAGGCCAGGCAGTGGTGGCACACACCTTTAATCCCAGCACTCGGGAGGCAGAGGCAGACAGATTTCCGTGAGTTCCAGGCCACCCTGGGCTACACAAGATGGATCCAATCTAAAAGAGACACAGAGCTGGGCAGTGGTGGCACACACTTTTGGTCCCAGCCCTTGGAATCTCAGGAAGTGATATGGCTGGGTGGAGAGAGGAATATAAGGTGGGAGGAGACAGAAGCTCTTTCTTTTTCAGCCTGAGGAGTTAGTGAGGTAAGAGGAGGCAGCTATGGCTTGCTCTTTTGTCTCTCTGATCTTTCAGCATTTACCCCTATATCTGACTCCGGGTTTTTATTATTAAGACCTGCCCTGGCCAGCGGGGTCTCCAACGGGGACCTGAAGGGAGGGCTGGTGAATGAGAGGGACAAGAGACACAAAGAATGAGAGCAAGACAGGATGTCTAATCAAGCTCCAAAATTGTATTTCCTCTTCAGGCATATATAGGCAGGAGCAAACGGGGGTGCAAGCAGGGAGGGGACTTTAATCATGGGTTGTTCAGCCAGCAGGGAATGTTGCTATGGGGATTATCTATCTATTCTTCCCTAACTGCCTAACTGCAGCACGGTCACCTGATTTCTGAGAAGAGGTTCTGGTGCTATGGAGACTTAAGCAAGGCCTATATCTAGAAAAAGAGGAGAGAAGCCCAAATATGGCGGCATGTGTGTCAAGGGTCACTTAGGCTCTCGTCGAAGACCAATTAGGATTCCTGCTACAAAATGATGTATCTGGGATCTTTTCAAAAAGGAGAAAGACAGGGCAGCTCAGTGGCAGATCTCAAACTTAGCATTTGCAAGGTCCTGTTAAGTATCAAACCCAGAGCCCTCTGCATGCTGGACATACACTCTCCAAACTGAGCTGTGCTCCAGGATGCATGGACCATGAGCTGGGTATGGTGGCTCATTGCCAACAAAGCCAGCACTTGGGAGGCAGAGACGGGATGATCAGGAGTTCAAGGATGTCTTCAGCTACATAATGAGTCTGAGGCCAGTCTGGGCTATATGAGACTCTTTCTAAAACAACACAAAATGAAATGAAAAACAACGGGCTGGAGAGATGGCTCAGCAGTTAAGAGAACTGGCTGTTCTTCCAGAGGTCCTGAGTTCAATTCCCAGCAACCACAGGGTGGCTTTCAACCATCCATAATGAGAACTGATGCCCTCCTCTGGCCTGCAGGCATATATGCAAGCAGAACACTGTGCATAATAAATAAATAAACCTTGAAAAAAAACGAAAAAGACTGTAGCCTGGGTCCATTCCAAACATGAGTCAAGATGACAAATCCTTCACATCCTGTCCCCAGAAATGCTGCTGGTGGAGCTGCCCTTCAGTATGAGGAGCTAACATGAAGCCAAGTGATGCTTCTGACCACTGACTTTCCCCAGTGGTTGCATTAAACCTTCTTTTTTTGTTTTGTTTTGTTTTGTTTTTCCAGACAGGGTTTCTCTGCGTAGCTTTGTGCCTTTCCTGGAGCTCACTTGGTAGCCCAGGCTGGCCTCGAACTCACAGAGATCCGCCTGGCTCTGCCTCCTGAGTGCTGGGATTAAAGGCGTCTGCCACCACCGCCCGGCTGCATTAAACCTTCTTAATGTGGATTCTGAGATGTTGAAGGTGGTTTGACCACTTGCTAAAGGTGTTTCCCACATCTTACACTAAGGGGTTCTCTCCGTATGAATTCTTTGATGATGAGTCCGGGATTAGCTGAGGAAGAAGGCCTTTACACATCCTCTGCTCTCACAGGGCTTCTCACTGGTGTTGGACGAGGTTTGAATTCCAAGGTTTTGCCACACTCCACACATTCATAGAGCTCCCCCTATAAATCTGCAGTTGAAAGCATTCCCACACTCCATACTTCCTCCCTCCATAGGCCCCTTCCTCAGGGTGGATGCTGAAGTGATGAATGAGGACTTTCCTATCTCTAAAGGCTTTCCCACTTGTGGGACTTTCCCCCGTGTGGGCACTTCTGTATAAGACAAAAGTGAAACGATGCATGGAGACATTTTCACATTTACCGAACTCATATTGTGTTTCTCCCCAGTGTGAATCCATTGGTGCTCCTTGAGACGAGACCTGTGGCTCAAGGCTTCCCTAAACTCAAGACAATCGAAGGACATCTCTCAAGTAGACGATGCAGAATTGAGTGAGGCCTGCACTCTTACAAAACGTCTCCAGCATTCCCTACATTAGAAAGGTTTCATACTTGCTTATCCAAGCTCACTGTGGCTCTCTTCGTAATAGTCAGACGTTGGAAATATCATAGATGTTTGTAAACCAATGAGTGGATAATGAAGGTGTGGTACATTTACTCAATGGAATATTATTCAGCTGTTAAGAAAAATAAAATCATATGGTCAGGCATGGTGGCGTATGCCATTTTTGTTTTGTTTTGTTTTGTGTTTTCCGAGACAGGGTTTCTCTGTGTAGCTTTGGAGCCTGTCCTGGAACTCACTCTGTAGCCCAGGCTGGCCTTTAACTCGCAGAGATCTGCCTGCCTCTGCCTCCCCAGTGCTGGGATTAAAAGTGTGTGCCACCACTGCCCGGATTAAGAATTATTCGTTTCTGACAAGATGCCAGGTGTTGTTGAACCTCTATTTACGGGACTAAGAGGAAGCTGCAACCTTTTCTGGGCTTAACGTCTTTTTTATTTTGTTTTCCTTTGTTTGAGACAGAGCCTCACTATTTACCCCTGGCTGTCCTGGAACTCACTATGTAGACCAGGTTGGCTTCAAGTTCACCATTGCCTCTCCAGTGCTGGGATTAAAGGTACACCCTATCTCACCCAGATTAGCTCTAGTTACTGCCTGTTGTTACTTCAATCCCCTGAGTTTCACTCTGAACTTCCTGGTCTCTATCAGCCCTTTGAAGATTTTGCTTCTGGCCTAGACCCCAGGCATGAGCAGTCAAGCACCTGCTGGTGCTGCTAATAATGGAAACAGTAGCCACTGCTCAGCAGAGTGGGAAAGCTGTGGAATGCTTTAAAAATATTTATTGGCCGTTTGTGCTTCTTTTATTGAGAACTGTCTGTTCAGTTCATTTGTTTGTTTATTGACTGGTAAGTATTGTTATTCTGGATATTAACTTCTTGTCTGAAAATATAGCTGGCCAAGATTTTCTCCCATTCCATCAACCTGTCTGCTCACTTTGCTGATGTTTTCCTTCTTTTTTTTTTCAGAGCTGAGGACAGAACCCAGGGCCTTGCGCTTCCTAGGCAAGTGCTCTACCACTGAGCTAAATCCCCAACCCCAAGGATTTCTTTTCTTAACTTGGTCTAGAGTCGATCACTTTTTTTTTTTTTTTTTTTTTTTGCTTATGTTGAACCAACCTTGCATTGTTAGGGTGAAACCAATTTAGTTGTGATCTATGATTGTAGTCATTAATTTTTTCAACTTGACAGGTTCTAGAATCAGACAGAGTTGAGTAAACCCACCCTTAATACGGCAGCATGTTTCAGCACGTTTCTATGGAATGCTATCCCAAAGTGAGTGAAAAATAGAAAGCAAACTGAGTATCGCTATTCACCTTTTTGCTTCCTTACTATAGCAAACAGTAGCTCCCTGTGATGAAAGACAGAGGAGGCGGGAAACACACTGTGTGTATCTGCTCTCTCTCCCTGAGTTCTCCATTGTTCAACTGGACTGTAGTCATAAAACACAAGTTCAAAAGTAAGACTTTCTTTCAAAGTCAAGAATTTCAAGATGACAGGCCAGGTGTGGTGGCTCAGGCACCTGGGAGGTAGAGGCAGGAGGAACAAAAATTCAAGGTCATCCTTGACTACACAGTGGGTTTGAGGCTGCTCTGGGCATATTAGATCCCGTTTGTTTAAAATAATAATAATAATAATAATAATAATTTCAAGGCGATGACAGTGGGTCATTAAACTGAGGTCCTGTGTGTAGGTGTGTGGTTAGGGGCTGGCCCTACAAAGGAAATTCCTTTCTTGGGAAAGGTCTCAGGTTCTTTTGGTTGGAGGGCATCTGAGTTGGGAAGAAGAGTCATGTCATATTGTACTCTGCTGAAAAGATCCTAATCCCTCAGGGTTGAAACAGAGATCTACCTACCCAGTCTGAAGCTGGGAATGGTGAAGAGAGTGCTTGGCAAGAGGAAAGAGAGGTGGGCTTATTTCCACTTTCCCTATCTCTAGCGGAGCAAGCCACTGGTTTATTGCAGGTTAGTACATGCCCTTAGCCCACAGAAAAGACAGAAATGATGATAACGCCCTCACGGCATGTGGGTATCAGGGAGGGCAGATGCCGGAGAGACTGGGAGTTTGTCTCGTCTTCTGCTGGTCAGAACATGTCTTCTGCTCACCACTATGGCATGGTGTCTTCTGGAGGGAAGGAGCGATTTAACAAGTCTCTGTATTTTATAGGTTGTATTCTGAACCAGGAGATAATAACTACAAGGTCAGGAGATGATGTGATGGCTCATCTTGGTTACCAACTTTACTTCATCTGGAATCAACTGAAACCGGAGCTGCTGTTCACCCCTGTAAGGAATTTTCTTGATCAGACTATTGAAAGTAGGAAGCCCCCCACTAAATCTGAGCTACACTTGCTGGCGGCAGTCTGGATAAAAGGACATGGAAGAAAGAGCCTGATGGTGGTGGCACACACCTTTAATCCCAGCACTTAAGAGGCCTTTCACACTCACAGAGATCTGCCTGCCTCTGCCTCCCCGGTGCTGGAATTAAAGGCGTGTTCCACCATAACTGGCTAAATATACTTTTATTTTGAAATAACTTTAGGTTTACAAAAGAGTTGAAAGAATAGTTTTGGGCATTCTCATGCACTTTTTATCTCACTTCCTCTAGTGTTGATATCTCGCATGATCACCTTGTAGTCATAAAACTGAAGACACCAGCACTAACACAATGTTGCAAACTAAATATGGGTGTTGGAATCTCATCTGTTTCTCTATTGCAGGATCCAATCTGAAGCATTGTGTTGTTATATTTAGTCCCTGTCTCCTGAATCTCCTCTAATCTGTGACAGCGTCTCAATCTTTTCTGGCTAGGCATCTGTGCAAAGATATCCAATCTGGATTTTTTTTTCTCTTTTAAAGATTTATTTTATTATTTCTAATTATGTGTCACTGTGTAGGTCTGTGTGTAGGTATGTGCCTGAGCATGAAGGCCAGGCCAGAAGCTTTTGATCTCCTGGAACTGAAGTTACAAGTAACTGTGAGCACTTGACATGGGTTCTGGGGGTCAAACTCGGGTCCTCTGCAAGGGAGAAGTGTATGGTACCATCTTACCAATGAGTCACCTCTCTAGCCCAGTCTGGGTTTCTGATAAGGCTGGAGTTATGGATTTTTTTAATGGTGTTCTTGGTCCTATCAACAGCATATGACATCACTGTGACTTGGTGCTGGTGGTTTGACTGTAACCATTTGATGAAGGTGGTGTCTGCCAAGTTTCTCCATTATAAACTTAGCATTTTCCCCTTTTCATATTCCGACCACTAGAAATGAATCATTAGGTGCAGCCTGTATCAAAGGGGAAAAGGCTTAAGCTTCAGGAGAATTATGGAAAAGTTCGTGGACAAGCACAAAAACCACCACAATAATGAAGAAATATTTCGGGAGGAGTCTCTGAAGTTTGTTAGGATCTTGCCTCTTGGTGTCACACTCGAATCTTAGCATCATCTGTGGGTTTGCTGGCAGCGTTGTTCTAGGGTGCTGAGTGGCGATTTGTCTGTTTGCCTTATCCTTTCTGCACACAGTATTTGGAATTCATCTGTAGCTCAGATGCATCCTTTCCTTACAGCGAGTTTACTTATTCACTTTTGGTACGGACTTATGGGAATTTATTCTGTGGATTATTATCCTGTGAACTACTAACCAATACTTGCTAGTTTTTCATTGCCCAAATTATTCCAGGTTTTAGAATTGGGAAGTCTTTGCAGCTGGCTCTTTCTCCCTGCCTCTCTCTTCCTTACTCCGTTTCTACCTTCTAGTCTTCCTCCTTTTACAAGATGCACAAGCAGCATTAGCCACTTCTCCAGCGTGTTCTTGTTCCTTCTCCTGGAGAGTAGTGCTTAGGGAACCGGATCTGAGCGCCCAGGGTGCTCAGTAGCATTGCCTACGACATCCCAGTGAACACACACACACACACACACACACACACACACACACACACACACACTCATTCATAGAGCTAATGGGAGGAATAAATAGTTCTCAAAAGCTGGAGAGATAGCTCAGCAGTTGGGAGCACTTCCAGAGGACCCAGGTTCAATTCCCAGCACCCACATGGCAACTCACAGCTGTCTGTAACTCCAGTTCCAGAGGATACAACATCCTCATACAGGCATACATGCAGGCAAAACACCAATGTGCGTAAAATAAAAATTTTTTTAAATTAATAATAAAAAGAAAGATCAGGCTTTAGGCAAGCCTGTAGGGAATTAAAAAAAGATGAAGTACAGATGGCCAATAAATACATAGAAAAGTGTTTACCATCACCAGCTATCAGAGAAATACAAATTAAAACCACACTGAGATTGTATCTGACCACAGTCAGTACCACACTGATTAAGAAAACAAATATCACATGTTTTTTTCTTATAGGTGGGTCCTAGATTTTATAGAGATAGATAATATTATATATGTACAGACGATAGGCAGGTGGAAGTGAGATTGTCCAGGGGAATACGGTGGTCTCATGGGAAGGAGAAGGAATGAGAAAAGGTACAGTCTTGAGGGATGGGCAGACATCTCCGAGTACATTATATGCTCATGGGGAGATAGCCCTGTATAACTCAGGTCCATACAATAAAAACATTTTACAGAGAACCTGCCCCTCCTTATCTACAACAAATGAACTTATTTGTACAACACCAGGATCCACTGGGAAGTAGTTTCCATTCCTAAGGGTGAAATGGATAGTTCATATGACACATGCAATCCCACCCGCAGCAACAGGGCTCTCGTAGTTCTACACCCTCACCAGCTCCTCTTAGATTGGAAATGGCTTGCCCTACCCCAGCTTGTTCCCCCCTTTGGCCTGCCCGAGTCACAGAACAATCCACACACTGGTGTTTGCGAAGGTCATTGTTCTCGACTGTGTCGCGTTTCCACTCCAAGTGCTGTATGCTTTCCCCTTTTCTAACATCCTGGTAAGACGGCGGCACTAAACCCGATTCAGCTGGCCGGAGAGCTAGCAGCGATCTTGACTGAGGAGAACTCTTCTCTGGGCTTCCTCCTAAACGTTTGCCTTTGCGCAGCCTGCTAGTGCCCTGCTCCTCTCAGCCTCCTTAGCCTAACCAAGTGAATCCAGCAGGATGCTAGGGCACTTAGGCTTCTTCGCTAGAGATTTCAGTGACTAGAGACCCCACAGGATAGGCCACCTCATAAAGCTTTTCAGCCAGGTAGCTTGGTGTTCCCTCGTCAGAAGGATGCCAAGCATCGGGCCCCTCTTCACAGTCCCTGCCTTCTAACTCGGCAGGTAGCACGTTCTCATAGTCATTAGAGTCTTCACTTGACTGGTCCTCTGTGTGCGCCACCTCACCGTCCTCACTCTGTGTAGACGGCTGAAATGCCATATAATACACAGAAGACAGGGCCCTCCAGACAGGCTCCCTGCGGTCTGCATTAGAAGATGTCCCTTCTTCCCGCGTCTGCCGCTGGCTTCCGTTGACATCGGATGATGGGACATTTTCATAATCTCCGCAGCACTGAAAAACCAGCCCGGGCTGATTCTCTTGGATGTCCTCAAGATCCAACCCTGTCATATTCACATAGTCATTTGAAGCCTGAGATGAGTCGTCTCCGTCCTTTAGTAGATCACTGCTCTCACTTCCCAGAGCCCACAGACCAGTGTGGGCAGTGGCAGCCACCTCACAGCCTGCATGCCCTCCTTCAGCCAACTCCAGCTTCTGGGTGTGAAGACCGAGGTGATTTTCAGGAGCGCTTTTGGTAGACGTTCGCGTCTCACCAGCCTCTTCTGCTGTGTGGATATTGACGTAATCGTTGGACTCCCTGGAAGAGATGCTGGAGTTATTTCCGGAGGTCCTGACACTGACGGGATGTGCCAAGGGGGCCAGGTGCCCACACATCTGGGGCACTGTGCCATTGTCATAGATGCCGACCGTGTACTCCACAGCGTTTACGGGAGCTATGTGTATCTGAAGGGAGCCATCTGCTTGGGAGGCCTGTGAAGAAGGAGAGAAAGTGACAGGGTGGGGACAGGAATGGGGACACAGCCCCTCCTCCTCCCTGCACTGCCTAGCAGCACAATCCCTTCCCTCCGTCCTCTTAGAGCTAAGCCCCAGGTCAGGGACGCACGCCGCAAGGCGGTGGGTGCCAGGTATGTTGAGGGTCCCAGAGAAGTAGGCTCAGTATAAGGAAAGCGATGCTGGGCCTGTACCTCAGCGGTATAGAGTACTTGTGACGCACACTCGAAGACCTCAGTCCAGTCCTTAATACTGCAAAAACGTTCAGGAAAACAGTGGCAGCCGGGCGGTGGTGGCGCACACCTTTAATCCCAGCACCCAGGAGGCAGAGCCAGGAGGATCTCTGTGAGTTCGAGGCCAGCCTGGTCTACAGAGTGAGTTCCAGGAAAGGTGCAAAGCTACACAGAGAAACCCTGTCTCCAAAA